TCACTTTGCGCGGTGTTATAAGTGCTTGTGACGAACGGAAGCACTTTGTCCCAGCTGTTGTGGCCCAAGCTTAAGTACATGGATACTCTGTTCACAGGTGTTCTATTCGTGCGATCATTCGAGTCATTTGTCTGAAGGTGATAAAGGGATCATCGTCGCAGATTGGAGTCACACAGACACAGAAGTTCTTCAACCACATCAGCCACAAACTGAAGGCCAGGGTCACTAATTATCACTCGAGGGGGACCACACATAATGCAGCACGAACTGTGACACTTCGCCTGCAGTTGCACAGGGTAGTGCTGCCGTCTGGCAGAACAAAGCCAGGTAGTCAGACTCTGTGGCCACTATGATCTAGCGGTCACCTTTAGAAAGTGCAAACGGTGCCTATTTGTTCGAAAGGCGAGCTGGGAAGTGCTACAGGCATTAGACAACCAGAGGGAGTGTTGGTAGGTCTTTTGCGACTTCGACACTCTGTGCAGATGGCTATGTATGTGTCTGCTGCCTTGCGCATTTTTGGCCAGTAAAAGCTTTCTTTGGCACGAAATCCTGCACGACACATAAAACTAAAGAGCTGAGTGCTTCTGGCACCAACAGAAGACAGCGTGCACCCATAGAGAAGAAATTGTTTTTATATAGCAGTCCATCCTGGACTCAAAAATAACCAGTTGGAGAGTCTTTTGCAGCTGAGAATAGTGGTTCTAGAGTTAAATCCTCACGATGCTGTCTCGCGAAAGTTGCGACGTCTGGAAAATCTTCTTGTAATGTTGCGACTATCTGGTCGGAGCTATGAACGTCACAATCCGTGATAGGGAGGGGCAGCCTGGAAAGACATCCAGCGTCAGCCTGTATTTCTCCCCTTTTGTATGAGACAGTGAAGTTGTCCTCTTGCAGGTGCAGAGCCCATCGTGCACGGCGTCCAGACAAATCCCAAGGATTGACGAGCCAGCACAGAGAGCGATGGTCGGTGACAATCGTAGACCAACGCCCTACAGGTATGACCGAAACTGCTGAACACCAAAAATACCAGCAAGGAATTCTTGTTCAGTTAGCATAAAACAAAAAGTACTATTCCAGCTCACACAGCTTTTCTCCAGCCTTGTAACTTCAACTGAGACTACCTCCTGAGCAGTTGCTAAGTGAAACTTGCAGCATCACCCAAGTACCGTATTTACTCGATTTTACCGCGCCCTCGAATGTAACGCACACCCGATTTCCCCCGCGAAAAAAAAAAAAAACGTAAGACATCGATTGCAACGTGCACCCATTTTTCTCGCTGGCCCGCACGATCACACCACTCGAAAAAACGACTCCTTTCGGGAGCGTCTTCCATTTAAATATAAGGTACGGGCGAAACTTCTGCCCATCTGACGTGTAACAGAGCATTGCCGTCACTGTAGTTTTACCGTGGACCGATGTCAGCACTCGAACTTGCTTCGCCTCCTTCTTCTCGACGGTTGTGGTGCCAGGCATGTCGAAGTAAAGAGGCGTCTGATCAGCATTCCCGATTTGCCCAAGCAGGTAGCCGTTGTTGCACCGCAAGTTTAGGACGAACCTCTGAAAACTGTGAAGCTTTTCATCGTACTCCTTCGCAAAACTTTTCGCATATGCATGTTCCCCTTCGAAGGAAAAAGCCTTTCCTCTTGATAAAGTTAGTTGTCCAGAACCTGCTCGCTTTAAACTAGCTCCGCATTAGACCTTTTTCTAAGACTAATTGCATAGCCCGCACTTGGAGCAGTTCTGTCGTCACGGGCCGCTGTGCCGCTCGCTGCTCAAGCCCATACTCGCCGAGCAGCTCTTTAATTTGCGGAAACCGACCTTGCTGTGGTCCACTGAAGCCTTTGCGTGAAGCTTTGCTGTCGACAATCTTCTGCTTTTGTTTCCGCCGGTCCCGCACGCACGTTTCGGGAACTCCGAACGACCGCGATGCGGCCCGATTTCCGTCCGTTTCTGCACACGGGATGACTTTTCTTTTAAAATCGGCATTGTGGTGCACTCAAGTTTTTGGAGTCGGCCCTTCCACGCCGTCGATGCTAATGCACTACTAGATGACGAACTCCTCAGCACACGTACGAAGTGCCGCACATGGGAAACACATAGGCAGAAATGGCCGACGCGCCATGCCGACGCACGTAGAGGGCGGCCATTTTGGATTTGCCGATGGCAATAGATTGCCCGTAATTTTTTTGTTCGTACTCGATTCTAACGCGCATGCGATTTATGAACTCGCTTAACCGGAAAAAAGGTGCGCGTTAGATTCGAGTAATCACGGTAATAGAACCTATAACAGGTTATTGGCTAAAATGTCACACTACAGCCGAACCTCGATATATCAAACGGCGCGGCGATCGCGAAATAGTTCGATATATCCAGAATTCGATATAAAGAAATCACGAAAAAATGCGTCAACAGCTTGCTGAAAACAACTAACGAACCGTTCAAGCGTGGTGCAGTAAATACTCACTTGAAGATTCAAACATAGTATTTATTGTGTTGGTTTAAAATGTTGAAAAAGAGTAGCTAGCTTTTTGTTGGCCATGGCGTGTTTGACGACTGCGTCCTCAATATAGTCCAGGCGATTCATAAGTGATAGGCCGGTGCCTTCAATCACGCCGCAGTGGCGGCGCACAAGGGCCAAGGCAGCTACGACCTCAGCTGATGTCGGGAGCGGGGCACCATCAGCGCTTGTGGGATCCACCTTGGCAGAGTCTTCATTTGGCTGCTCAGCAGTAGCTTCGGCGACAATCTCCACATCCGTGAGCTCCGCCATGAGCTCCGCCGTTCGGAGTTAGGCCTGTCGCGCACCACAGCGCGCGACACGCCTAACTCCGAATGCACAAACACTGCGAGCACAACGACCGATGCCTGCCGATGCTACGGGGGAGGAGCTTGCAACAAGTGCGCAGTGTGCCGTTGACACCATGGAGACTGCAACGACTGCAAGCTGCAAGGCTGCGGCGCGCGTACGCCGCTACGTTAAAGTGGCGCTCTCGGCGCCATCGATGTGTGCAGCATTCGTAAACGCCCGCCGCTTTACCGCTACTTTCGAGAGTTGCGGGAAAGCTCGCCGCCTGTCAATGGAGCGCGGGCGGTTTGGGGTGGCTGAGTTCGATATATCCATTATATGTCAAACTTTGTTCGAAATAAAAAATCAATAATGCATGCGATTTCCCGCGTAATATAGGAACCGTTCGATATAGACAATAATTCAATATATCCGTGTTCGATATATTGAGGTTTGACTGTACTAAGTTTAGAGAATTACTAGTGCGATGACTGGGGTCTCTATTCCCATCACAGTGGCTGCATTCCCACTCAGACAAAATATGAAAAAACGTGTGGCATCGTAGTCTAGGTGCCCATTGAGTAAACTTCGGTTGTTGAAATCAACTCCGCATATACCATTGTGGCGCGCACACTAATTCAATCACTTATTTTGACAGGCATAACACCACAATAAAGGTTATTTTTAATCTTATAAATGTAACTGTACTAGGCTTATGAGAATAGTGAATTTTTTATTCGAAATGAATTTGAAGCGAATATTAATTTTGGTCAAATAACTTTGAATTGAATTCGAATAACATATATGACCTACAAAGAAAAATGGGCATATTTATCATGACCAAACTAACCTGCACAATATTTTTTAAAATTAAAGCAGAACCTCTATGCAAATGGCTTTTTTTTTTTTCATTCAAAAGAAGTCAAAAACACTTTGAGTAGTAGCAGGATTCAGGATTTCACTTTCGTTAGGATGCAAGTAATAACTTAACATCTTAAAATTTATTATACGCAAAGCATATATGCTGTCATAAAAGCTTTTAAGCTTAATAAAGTGAGGAAGTGCTTTGAGGGTAGTAGGTTCATTTAAAGGGGTCCTACAATAATTTTTTCGTTTTTCAAGTAGCCGTAGAATGAATTTGCTAAAGAAGCTTACTGCCTCAACATTTTTAGAATCCGTTCAGTACGAGGGGAGTTGCAAAGATTTGTTGCACGTTGCTATTGCATTCTCGTCCAGACGAAAGCGCTGGGGAAAAGATCATGTGTGCCTCATGACTTTCAGCACTTCTCTCTTTCTTCACGCGGGTTTCCAGTGCGAATGCGCACATACGCGTGGACAAGCGGAAGTCCCAGGAACGACCGAGCGCGTTTTGCTGAAATTGGCCCATGGCTGATACAATGGCTGCGACGAGGAATTTTTGAGCTTGTGGCATCATTTGCCGCGAGAAGAGAGCAATTTTTAGCTGACTGAGGTTTATTGTGAATTGCAGGCTGCGTGCTTTTTTATTATGCAGCGTTTTTTTTTATTATGCTCAAAAAGTGTTTCAGGGAGCTCCTTCAAACTTGAAGGGGGCTTCCTGGCAGGGCGGATTTTCTCTGCAGATGTGCTTTCATGGCTTAGCACCTCTACATTGCAATGTAACCACCTTTATAGGCAGTTACATGCAGATTAATACTTATACATCCATTCGTTCATTGCAAATACTTCGAAATTTTCAATAATTTAAATTCGAATCGAATTCAAATACTCTACTATTCGTTCCAATATTCAAACCAATCGAATATTCACACAAGCCCAAACTCTACAAATACCTCAGCAAAGTACTTAAGCACACACGCTGTCAACCTACAAAATGCAGGACTTGCCAGAAGTGGAAGATTGACGCAAGTAAATCTAGTCGTCAAGTCTGCATCTCACTTGTCAACTTGCACTTGCCCCCTGCACAGTTTCTCTACTGCATTTTCAATCAAGTTTAAATGTCACACCAACTAGCCTAAGCCTCCTATGCCATATATGTGAGGCAACATGTACAATCAGCATGTGACTCACGAGAGCTTACAGTGATTTTATCTAGCGCAATAATTTCAATCCATGATGTGAAAAAGAAAAAAAAAGGGAGGTTGAAAGAAAGACGAAAATAAAAAGGAGTACTGACCGCAGCCTTCTTTCAAGTGTGTTGCGATTAAAACCAAAGCAAGAAGGACACCATGAGAAATTGCTGTACATCCAATTCCTTTTATAAACATATATTGCACTACATATTCCTTGACGGATTTTGTTATATTACACAATTCGAGTCAAGGAGGCACAAATTACAACAACACATACAGTATGTTGTACAGTCTTACACTGTCAATGGGAGCACTGTGATTCAGTAAGATGGAGTGCAGGTCGCTATTTATAAAATTTACATGGATGCTAATAAAAAAAAGGTAAAATGGACAGAGAATGAAAAATAAATGGACATCTAGCAACGAATTTGAGGCCATACATGCATCTTAGTAACGCCAACATAAGTGTAAATAACAGAAAGGCAGCCTAAGCAGCAGATAACAATAACAAAAAAGACTACTGTACACAAAAAGATAAACATCAACATATACAAATGTCCAATGCCCACAGCAATGGCAGATGAACGGCCATGCACAGACCAACAAACGAGAGTCAGCTTACACAGCAAGTAAAAACAGTCTGTAGATGTAAAATAATGAGAGAAAAAACCCTCTCTTCAAATCAATAAAGTCTTTGTAATTAATTAGTTCATCCACTTGCGACAGTTTGAAGCACTGCAGAGGCATGGAATTTTGTGCCCGTCGTCTTCATAGTCGAACTTGTAATCGTAGGTTAGCTGTGGAAGAAAAAAAAAATGCAATTGTGTTGTTTCAATGCACTCACAGGAAACGTGGTAAATATTTCTGCTTTTCTTGGAACAAAGTTCGTCATTTTAGTTTTATGTTGAACCACGAAGGAAATATGAATTTCAATGTGCATAGATTTATAGACAGTATAACATAGCCAACCCCCGTAACTAGCCATTTACTCTCAAATTAGGTGCATCATATATACAGTACACTCTCAGTAAATAGAAATCTGTTAAACAAAACTGCTGCTTAAACGGAACAGCTTCCTCTAGTACATTTGGTTTTGTACCTGAAATCTGCACCCCTGCTCATCTCTCAGTGAACGGAACTCCTGTGTTAAACACATTTTCTTGATCCCTTCTGGTTCCGCTTAAGGAGAGGATACTGTGTGTGTGTGTGTGTGTGTGAGTGTATATATATATATACCTGCTCATCTCTCAGTGAACGGAACTCCTGTGTTAAACACATTTTCTTGATCCCTTCTGGTTCCAGTTAGGAGAGGATACTGTGTGTGTATGTGTGTGTATATATATATATATATATATACACACACACAGTAACAAAACTAGAAAAAAAAAAACCGAAACAAACTCGCACTACAATAGAATTAATATGGTAATGCAGTCCAACTTACTTACAACAATCCTAGGTATAGCGATCTATCGGTTATAACGACCATATTTCGGTGCACTTATGATGTTCCTATGCTACTCTTTGAAACAGAGTCCACATATAGCGAACATTTTTCAAAGCCTCTTAGTACTTTTACAGCGAGCACTTCCGACACAGTCCTGGTAAAAATAAAGAGTACACGAAGCGATAAAAAAGTTGAAACAGGCATTCTAAATCTTTTGATAGGCGTTCACATGAGTGTGCCCTGCTGCAGTTTACTTGCCCCGAAAATATTATAGACAGCGGCGAGCACCGCACGCAGATTTCGGACTTTGCGAGCGAGGTCATCCATCATCCACTTCCGAGACATTTCTTCACCAGCAAAACGGAAGTACGAGTTGATCCACTCTCCGGCAGTGACCAAGTAGCGACCAGAATACTACGCTACAAAGTAACTGAAAGAAAAAGTTGAAGGCAGCGCGAAGACTTGCAGACACCTTTCGCAAGGCAAACATTTTTGACGCTGATCTCGGCATCTACGACCGCCGACAATGAAACAAGAATGCCTTCAATTGCAAGAGGCCATATATGCGAGAAACGGTAAGGTCGCATAAAAGTTCACTGCGATGCTCAACTCTCAGACAACACAATGTACTGTAAAAATTCTTTCGGCAACGGCAAAGACCGGTTGATTAGTGATAACTTCTGCGCGGTTGCAGTGATGCCTTCATGAATAAGCATAGAAAAAGAGCGATGGAGAGGTGGCCAGTGGCGATAACCATGCCACTCTGACTTATCGTTGGCTACCTTTCACAGTCATCTGCAAATAGCTGCTCCGCGGTGCGACGACGGTACAAGTGCGCGTCATGCTGCCTCTCGCAAGTTCGCAGCCGCTGTAACGTGCGAGGCCACTTGCGCGCGTTGCTCGCAGAATTTTTCGTTGAGTAGAATGAAGATGCAACTCGCCACACCAGAGCGCAATCCCGAGTGAAGCATACACAAAGAATGCACAAACGCACGCATACATTGAACTGCAAGCAAACCGGCATGCAACGGCGAGAGCCGAGTAAGCGACGTGCTGCACGCAACAAACCAGGGATGATTGGTTCGACGTGGAGATACCGCGCTTTAGTGGAATCCGAGTTTATTGCGAACATGGTTGAATTCACTCGTGAGCAAACGGGCATTGCTTAACACGTGAAAAGGCCTAACTTGTCAGTGGAGGGGTTGTTCGCACTTTTGAAAAAAAAAATACATGGGGAAAAAAAAAAGAGGTTTGACCACTAAGTGGACAGGTGGCATGCACTTGATGTCATCCTCTAGAATCGATAGCGTAGAAGTCGCCATTGAGGAGGTCCTTGTGCTTTCCAAACGCTCAAGTAACTCGCCTATGCGTTGCACAGTAAAATTCATCGGTTAATCGAAACAGTGCTTATTGGTCACCCACAGTTAAACGGCACAAACTCCAAACACAGCATAGACTTGCTCATGCCAAAGGAGTCTCACAACCATGGCAACACTTCGAGATTGAGACAAGCCAATTCAGTATCCATTCTCGCTTGTGGCTGTGAGAGCCAGGTCGGCAAGTTAATTGTGCGTTAGGCCTATTGTGCGGCGAAGTACGGTGGATCACGGTGTTATTTCAGCCTGATGGAAAGGAAGCGGCAGCACCATACACTCCCACTTGAAAAGAAGCTGCAAATTGTTCAGAAGCTCGATTCAAGCGGCCTGACCAAGATGGAGGTGGCGAAAAAAATACATCCCGAAATCGACGCTGTCGCGGATCTGGAAAGACAGAGGAGAGATTGAAGGCACTGTTAAGAACGGGATCTTTACATCTAAACTGATGCGGACGACGCCTTATGAACAACTAGAAAAGTTCTTTTTCTGTGGTTCAAGCGTGTACGGAGTTCCAATTTACCCATAGGCGACCGATTCTTGAGCAAAAAGCTCGAGAGATCGCCATTCAAATGGGTGTTAAGAACTTTGTCCTAAGCGACGGATGGCTCAGCCGCTTCAAAACACGCCATGGCCTAGTCTTGAAATCAATCTCGGGTGAGAGTGGTGCAGTCAACAGGGACATTTGCAGCGACTGGCAACAGGGGCGTTTTAATGAAATTTAATGAGCTTTGAGCCACGAGACGTCCTCATCGTCGACGAGATGGGTCTTTTTTATAAGGCGTTTCCATCAGAGACTCTTAACTTCAAAGGCGAAGCCTGTAGTGGAGGAAAATGCAGTAAAGATCGCATCACTATGCTGTTAGGTGCAAACATGACAGCAGATGAAAAATTGAAGCTACTGGTAATAGGAAAATCAAGGCAACCACATTGTTTCAACGGCGTTCGACACCTTCCCGTTGTGTACCATGGAAACGAAAAAGCGTGGATGACCTTGGCCCTTTTCGAAAACTGGCTTCGGGAGGAAGACGCGAGATTTACGAGGCAAGGCCGGAAGGTTGTCTTCATCGTGGATAATTGCCCAGCCCACAGTCAGGTTCAAGTATTCCAAGCCATCACTCTGGAGTTCTTGCCAGCCAATGCAATGGCAGTGATCCAGCCGATGGATCAAGGGGTTATTCAGAACATTAAAGTTTATTACCGCAGACAATTGGTCCATCGATTGTTGCTTTGTGCAGACAGCGCAAAATGCTACAGCATAGATTTATTGGCAGCCATCCACATTTTGGCCCGTGCCTGGGAGCAAGTGAAGGCAACAACAATACATAGATGCTTAACCATGCTGGCTTTCAAGCACAAGAAAGCAGTACCTGATGAAGAAGAAAGCCCTGCTGATGCCGACATTGAGACAGTATTTAGTCAGGTCGTACCTCTGCCCCTTTTACGCTGCAGGACTACGAATTAATTGATGAAAATGTTCGTACCTGTCGCAAAGAGACTGTCGAGGAAATGATTGCCGAAGTGCAAGATAAGGATCAACCTTCCACCAATGAATGTGATAACGATACTGCCAGTGGAGTGGTGCCACAACACCGATCAGCTTAAAGAGCCACTCACCAAATTTGACAATTTTGAGCTGACAAGCGCAATGCAAAGACGAGGCGTTCATGATCACATCTGCCAAAATTTGCAACGCTATGCGACGCGGAAATGGGTCAAATTTCAAGATGAACGCTGCTACCCCTCCCCTCTGCCGGCGTGCGCGTAGAGAAGGAGGGCATGACATGCACGTATGAATGGCCTTACGTACACGGCAATGCAGTGACGTTGGTCCTCTACATAGACAACTTTGCTCTGACGTTGCAAACAGTGACACGTGATATGGCGAAAATTATTTCACATGGCACGCTTAGTTTAGGCAATTTGTTGCTTGAAATGATCAAGAAAACTCTAGATAAATAATGAGACACTATAAGGGAATCTGAGCGTCCTTCTTCCATTTTTCTCCCGCGAATTGCAACGAGATGTGGGCCTAATGTGCCGGCGTTTTGCATGCGTTCCTGTCCCTGCGGTCAGTGCTTGGAGCAGACGACCACCGTGGAAAGCTCCTATGCATTCGCGCACTCATTGTGCTCATCTATTCTACCGCGTCTAAGTCAGCGTTTGCAAACGATCCCGCAGAAACAGGCAGAAGACTACAAATAATGCTGGTCAACAAAGCAACGCCGCTCCCATGCTCCGGGGTCGGACTTGTTTGGGCACGCCATGCACACGTCACCTCTTAGTCGGATGCCGGAGAGGGTGGGGAAGAGGTTTGGCTTGCGAAGGCTAAGCGAAGGAGCGGCAAGTGTTTCGAGCTCGCCTCCTCTCATCCTCGTTTCACGCCGCTTCAAAAAACCTGTTTTCTCCGCTCGTGATGAACCGATTAAAAATATTTTTGTGGCAAAATGTTCCCTATCAGACACCCAACAACTTCCACTGTCTAACTAAAATTTGGTATGGGGCCTGGTGAGTGGCCCTTTAAGAGGCTGTTGAACTTTTGCATTGCTATTTTGAGCATGAGGCTTGCTGAGAATTTCTAGCTAGTTTGTCAGGCATGGGTGCGTACCTTGTGAAAAAACAACACAAGCTTGCCAAACAAATCACTCCTCACTCCTTTTTGTTTTCTCTTACTCATCCTCATGAGGAGTCGACTGTATCATTGTGAGATTCCATTATATGTGTTTCTGTCCTCGTCCGATATAAAGAACGTCTTCGTGTTATCAGATTGTCTTGAGTGCGTCCGATGACCTGGGCTCATTGAGAAAACCCCCTTACTCACCACACCTTTAATAGAAGACCATACTGTACACTACTAATGAATGTGTTTCAGTTGCCGATAGTATATCATTTCACATTTGACAACTTACAGTGGAAGAAAAAAGAAACAACTAAATAAAGGGGTAAAAAAAAAGATGCTTGAAATAAATGTGGCAGAATGTTGCCTACCTCTTCACCCCGTGTGATGCGGCGATTGGCGATGATGAGGATTTTGTTCTCACGGTCGATCTGCACAAGCTCAGCCACACAGTTAGGACTGCACGAGTGGTTTATGTAGCGTGCCAGGCCACCAGACAAGGTTGCGTCGATCACACGATTTTCATCCAGCCGGAACATGTACACACCACGATTCTGCAGCAAAAGGCAGGGACAAGACATGCCATTGGTGAAACGTACCAATAGGTCTTCAATCGAAGAGACACCATCTCTTTCAATCCAAAACGCCTTCGATATATGTGACCTTCATTATGAGCCCTTATGCTTTATTTGGGCAAAAAAGACTTGTCTTATTTTCATTGCAATCACTAATTTCTCAAACTGACATCTATTGAACGGAAGTTAACCGGTCATAAGATAATACCGTCACTGGGAATTAAATATGCAATTTCTGGAATGAACAAACTTTTGCTGCTTGCCTAGCTGTGATAGTACTATACCTGATTAATCATTGCATTATGACTACAATCCATGCTGAAAACTCAATTCTGTGGCTACAAGAATCATGCATTGTATTACGACTGTCACAAGCAAGATCTAGAACTTTAGCACATTGTAGCCTTGGGACAGCTAGTGTGCATCAACATTGATAAAGCTCACTTTTGCATAAGCCTAGATGAAGTGGTATCTACTAGTGGGTTAGGTGCCACTCAACAATTTAGTTAATAGTGAATTCTGAACACAAATGCTGAGCACTTCTGGTAGCAGTCTTTGTGCTCCAAGTATGTTTCACTGGCAGATCTAGAGCAGCTCCACCACTTGAACCCCATTCGTGGAGCAGCTTTCTCTACTCTGCAACAAGCTGCGCATTTGACTGGCAGTAGCAAGCATTCCGCATGCGTACAGAGTGTGGCGTACCGTGTGATCAACACAACAACCAAGCGCGCCAATTCACTCTGTGAACGCCTGTGAAAGCGAGTTGCAGTTTGAAAACAATGAGTAGTGCACTGCGGCATCAATTTACGGTTGCGCGAGGAACACTGGGCGCTTTCATAAGATGATGCGCACTTGTACGTTCACCCATTTATCTGCTCTGGTGGGAGTGCCTGTTCTACGGTCGCCCTCCACCAGAACGGAGTGCTCCAGTGCAGAGTTAGTCAGCCTCTCTCAATCGGCCATTGGAATTCACCTTAAGCTTTCCGCTTTTTTTACACTAATGCTGCCTAGCAGACTTCCTATGTTTTGGTAGACCTTCAATGATGGGACGAGAAATTACTGCTTACACGGTCTATCTTATGTTACAATTCTGATACTGTCTTTACTCCATCTTTTTCGAAGGATCGAGTCACCAAAGAAAAAGAGAGACAGAAAGAGGAGGCGGCAGTGCAAACCTGTGCCTCATAGATGGCCTCGTTGCGCTCGGCAATCTCGTTGCGGATGAGCTGTCCGATGTACTCGATGATCATGGTGTGGCATTCGATATCGCGGGCGGCGTACAGGCCCAGGCCCTGGATGCCCGAGCGTGCCAGGTACACATTGTTGCGCCACTCGGTCTTCATGCGCCGGTACTGGGACGACTTGGAGTGCACAAAGTGCTTGGTGTAAGGGGAGCTGGCCTCCAGGCAGCTGCCGCCACCGCCACTTCCAGCACCGAGGGTCTGCAGCGAGAGCCGCAGCGTGTTGCTCGTGTGCATCGTGTGGGGCCTGCGGAAGGAAAAGCAGGTTCACAGCTGCACGACACACAGCATGGCAGTGCAAACAAAGTCTGCTGGGTCCTACAATTCTTCATTTGTAAAAAAAAAAAAATGTTAAGGGAGGACGCGGCCCTTGAAAACCGAAAAATCGTGAAAAAGCCGGTTTTTGAAAAACCACATTTTTGGGTTGTATGTCTCATAAACTACCTATTCTCTAATTATCAGCACCTAATTCAACCGCAAAGTGCAAAAAATATACTATTTTCGAGGCCGCCGCGGCATCCAAAACAGGCGCAAATCCCGAAATCAAACCAAACTTCGCGCGCGCCATTCCCGGACCATGCGGTCGTCCCGCGCCATCTTGGTGTTGTTTTGACCATGAATTCTTTCTCGCTCGTTCGCCGCTTTGCAAAATGGCGTCGACAGCACAGTTGAGACGCTATTGGCGTTTTCCCGCGATGCGATGCGGAGCGCTGATTGGGTAGAGCAGCGCATTCATATCTCGCGGGAGAAAGCGTGCCCGCCATTGGCTGCTGTGCAGCAGCAGGGGCGGTCGCTCCTCTCGATGGCGCGTCCAGCGCGCTCGCTTCGTTGTTGCTCTCTGCTCCGTCCGCCTTGACAGACGTCTGCTTACGAGCCGCTCTTCGCCTTGTGCTATCTTTTCTATCATTTTCTCTCGTTTTTTTTTTCTTTTTGCACTAGTTCTGTGCCTTTCGTCTTTGTTGTTGCGGGCGATGCCGGCAACGAAGCCGAAGTCAGTGCGGAAGTCCGGTGCGCGGAGGCGCGCTATGCGGCTTGTACGATCATCGAAATTCCGCTATTCTGCTGCGGGTGCCGACTGCGTAGACGCTTGCAGCGACGAAACTGTGTTGTTGGCTGTCGCCATTCGAGAATCTGACACATCGAGTGTGGCTGGAGCCGCAAATGCACCGAGTGTTTCCGAGATCGCCGGGCTCGACATGTGCTCCGAATCGATGCCATCCAGTGTGACACCGAGTGCTTCTGATATCGCAGGACCCAGCACTTCGTCTGAATCGGTGCCGCCATCGAGCGTGAGTGGACCGTCGCTTCATCTGCGGACGCGTTTCCTAACGAAGGAAGAAATCAATGCGAATGCGAAACGGCGTGACGCCGTTCGCGCTGAACTCGAGTCTACGCCGGCGACGCAGAAGAAATTTCAACTGATGCAGCCAGCTCTTGCACCTGCAGTGACAAGTGAGGGCGAACATTTTTCGCTCGTTCAAATGAACATCTTTAACGTCGTGCTCAGCCGCACAGTGTGCAAAGAATGTTTGAAAGGTGCTATGACTGTCCGAGAGAGCACCAAGCTTGAACTTGCAACAAAACTTGAAGTCGTGTGCGCCTCTTGTGGCACCGTCGATAAATTATGGACATCACCCCGCAAAAAGGACATGCAGGCCTTCGATGTAAATGTCCGCGCCATAATGGCTATAAAGCAAATAGGCAAGGGGCAAACAGCTCTTAATGACTTTTGGGCTGCCATGAACGTCTCTTACAGAGGTCTTCACCACAAGACGTTTCAAAAGCACTTGAAAGAGACGTTCAGGAAGCCGGAGGCCACCGCTTTGGAGAAGTTTTATGCTGACTCTGCCACAGCAGTGATCAAAATATATAAAGAAATGAACCCCAGCTTCTGCAAGGACATCACCGTAGTGTACGATGGCACATGGCATAAGCGGGGTCACACATCACACATCGGAGTGGGATCGGTAATTGACTTCTTTACAGGTCTCATCTTGGATGCTGTAGTTCTTTCAAACCACTGCCTTGGATGCCAAACAGGGCCCAAACCTGGAGATGCAGCATACGAAAGCTGGCAGAAGCACCACATTTGCCAGAAAAACACAGACGCAAAATCGGGAAGCATGGAAGTGGAGGCAGGCTTGACTCTCTTTGGGCGGTCTGTATCCAAGCATGGCCTGCGGTACACCACTCTTGTGTCCGACGGAGACAGCCGTACCTTCGCTGCCCTCACAGAAGAGAATGTGTACGGGCTAGTGCCAATTGTAAAAGAAGAATGTCTGAACCATGTTCAGAAAAGGATTGGAAGTGCTCTTCGAAACATTGTGCAGAAAAGTGATAAGCCACTGAGTGGGAAGGGGAAGCTGACTAAAGCCCTCATTGAAAAGCTGACAGAATATTATGGTTGGGCCCTGAGAAACAATTCAACTGACCTAACAGCCATGCAGCGTGCAGTGATGGCAACATATCACCACGTCACATCGATAGACCAGGACCCTCACCATGAACTTTGCCCAGAGGGGGCTCAATCGTGGTGCCGCCATAGAGCTGCAGAGGCAAAGCGTGAGCCACAGCCAAAACATAAACACAGCCTACCGGACTATGTCGCTGCAGCTATGCTGCCCATCTACGAAAGACTGTCACAAAAGTCGCTTCTTCAGCGCTGCCTGGGAGCGAAGACTTAAAATGCATCAGAATCATTCCACTCCATTCTGTGGTCTCTGATGCCGAAGGAACAACACTCATCCTTGATCGCGGCAGAAACAGCACTGCATGAAGCAGTGCTGCGCTACAATGCCGGCTGCTGCAAAGCAACCCAAGTGATATCGGACTCCATTGGACTTCAACCAGGTCATCTGGCCACCCAGCGAGCTTGTGAAAAAGACGCTTTACGCCTAAAAAAGAATTTTAAAAGACGCCAAGAGAAGATGGAGGCCAGGCAAAAGAAGAAAAGAGTGCGCCAGGACACTTCTAGCTACTGTGCTGGAGCTTTTTGAAGAAAACATGTGCTTTGAACTTTCTCGGCCTGTTTTCTCAGAACGGATGTTTTTGCTAGTTGTGGTGCTGAGGAAAGCAAGAACTCGAAAACCGTTCATCAGATTTGTGTGTCGTTTTTTTTTATTCTGTTCCTGAATGACCTTGCAAGGGCGTAACAAGCTCCTTTTTTTGAAAATTGGTGCTGTTAATTTATAATAAACAATTAATTTTTGATGAATCTGGTCATTACTGGTTACATCAAATTCAAAGTTGCGTGAAAATTTTGGGGGGGGGGGGGGGGGGGAATTTAAAAAAAACGGCTTTGTAGCGCCCTGGGATAGCTATCAAGGAATGACCACAATGAATTTCAGCTTTCTACTATGTCCTGGGATTTCTCACGACTCTTCCTCAGGCACCCATGTGAAGCACCCAGTTAAACCTCAATAACTCTGGAACTAAGAAACACAGCTTCGTGAAACTTAGCAGTTGTGCTAGTTTTATTGTAGTTAACAACCCCTGAAAGTTTCATCCAGATATCCTAAAAAATAAAAAAGTTCGGTCTCCAGGGTAGCCTCCCCCCTTAAGGCCAGAGCAATGAATGGGACAGCCATGATGGACCATGAAATAACTTTCCAGAAGTCTCCACCGGACACTCCCACCAAGCCAACTAACCTCTGAACCGCCTATCACCATGGCGCGACGACCAGATACGACGACCACGGCACCCTGCATCCTGTTACCACCAGAATGTCCCGAATTTTGGCTAAGAAGCCCAGCCATCTGGCTTATCAAGATGAAGGCTGCTGTCAACCTGCATAATATCGTCTCACAGCAGGACAGGTATGCCATCACAGTAGCCATGCTTGCTCCCTGCTCCGAGATGCGTTGTGCCTCCTCCTGGACCGCAGGCATACAACCGACTTCGACGTTTGGTGCTAGCCCTACTGGAACTGGGAGTGCCACGTCAACTGCTCCCTGCCGGTCTGAACCTTAGCTTAGAACCTCGGGCCGTCACTACCAAGCTACCCAAACAAGGCAACTCAAATTGTACGATTCTACCAGGTACAGGTGCTGCAGCATCAGCCAGTTCACAGGTGACCACGCAGCCATTGCAATTGCACGACATGGTTTTCGATGACGCACTCAAGACGACACTGTGCACGTAACATGCAAGGAATGAGTGTTGCCTCTTGCAAATTGCTTTGCCTGCCCCACCTGCCATCGCCGTCGCCAGCATTCGTCTGCCAGAGCTACTCGGTGAAGTAGCACTGACATCATCAGCTGATGTGTCAACGTCAGCGTTCATTCAAGAACTCGCCAGAGCTACTGATCCCTCTCTGTCAAGAGAGCAAACAGCTATGTCTTCAGGCACTGCCGAGCCACTCGAGTGCTCTCGACGCCGACAGCGTGTGCGATCAAACCAACGGTTGATGACTCCTGTGGCACGCCTGCAGCGCTCCCACTCTGCTTTCCCGTCATTGCGGCAATGCTGCAGAGTTTCAACGCTCATGTTCATCAGAGAACAATGTCAACTGAGACAAATTTTTCCCCACATCTCGGGCCCAGTGGTTCGTGCTTGACTGGCAAGTGGCGTGCCACTGGAACCCAAATATGAGTGCCATGTCCTTTTCTTCTTGCAACCCATTGCTTCAGATCGCAGCGACGTCACTGGCTCTGCGAGCGCAAATAAGCTATCTCATGCCGCATGACACCCGAGTTCACGGCGAGGTGCAAGCGACGGTTACATCTCCACGTCTCGTGTTCTCCAGTTCACACTGTTCCCGCAGGATGTCTGTCTGCCCTCTGCGCTACTCGCAGCCCCTACCTCCCAAAGAGGATTGAGAGCCCATTCGCCATTACGCTATCTCAACCAGGACTGCTAAATGGACCTACTTTTCCCGAGACTCCATCTATATGATGGGGGGCCCTGTCACGTGCTGGACAACAAACGACAGTGGCTCGAGGAGGCATGCGTGGGCCATGGAATAAAGCAGTTGGTTTTTGCCACACGATGTAATTAAGGCTAGCAGCTAACTCTTCTGAATCCCATCTCGCATAACTTCAGGAAACGCCAAGTACTGCTCAAGTAACACAGCCTCCACCTTCTAGCAGCGCCCCTTCATAATCCTTGCCCAACGAAAGACAGGCGGCGCTTTCCTCTCTGCTTTAAGAGCCATTGACGTCAGACTTTGCACGTGAAGAGCTGTTACTGCATGTGCCCTTTGTGTGATGAAGACGGCTCTCCCTCTTTTTCATCTCTGCTTCAGCCATGCTTATTTCCAGAGCTCGTATGGTTTTTTACTAGCGCATACAATCCACAATGTGTAGGGTGTCTTATGCCATGCTGACATTCAGATGCTGGGATACTGGAGCAAAATTCAACAATAAAAATTTCACAATTAGGCTTTTATTCTCCCTTCATATAATCAAAAGCTGTGATGGTAAAGTTACGATAATAGAGTACTATAAAATCAATTTCATCAGTCTAAACCTAACTTAACATTTCACATCAACACCCCTATAAATTGCCAAATTATACCTTCTTGAACCGTTGCTACCAAAACCCCTGCACTGACCTCTTGAAATGGGTGCGCAGCTTTGGTTCCGACCGTGCACAACCGGTCGGGTTGATGGCCAGCGGAAGCTCCAGCAGCGGTGATCGCCCAAACCGGAAGTTGTAGTCACTCAGGGTCTCCACACCTGGAAGCTGATGAAAAAAGGAAGCAGGAACACGAGCATGAACAGGAGTGAGTGCTGTCTCACAAATGCCAGTGTTAGGGATTTCAAGTGCACGTTAGTATAAACATGAGTGGGTGTTTGTAATTGTTTAATAAAGCAAACAATGAACAACAGAGAAGAGCAAAAGCACGAGAATCTACAAGAAAGTTTAGCCTTGGGTGCTGTGCTAACTTACCGATTCAGTAATCCTCACAATCGCGGCTTCTGTCAGCCCAAAGAGGTCTTCTCCAGTGATGAAGTTGGAGAAGACCTTGATGGCCTGTGTCTCCCTGCGGAAGCTCTCGATTGGCTGGAGAACTTTCTGCCACACACCTGCGCACAGGTCGTTGCAGTCAGCCATATAACGAAGTCTGCGGGTGGTCGCACTTGTCACTTGAAGTGCAGAGGCCACAATACCTCGAAGTGTGTGTCGTAAGACATACATGATTTATAGTACAGTGCAGACCACTTATAACATAACCGCTTATAGTGCCGGACCGGTTACAATGCGGTCTTTTTCGACTCTCATTTACAATCCCTTAGAATCCCATATATACGCATACCGCTCATTGTGCAGTCCCCCCAAGGTGAAAAGGTGAAAGCCCATTTATAATGCGGTTGCCGGAAAATTGTGACAAACACGGTAGCGAATGTGCATCTGAAAAGATATCTGAAGCCTTTTCTGAACCAGAATCAGTAGTTTGTTTTCGTATGATTTCTTTTCTGTAAAAATGACTATCACGCACGACGATACACTTCACGACAGGCAACCACGCTCACACAACCATTTATTTCTCGTGCCATACTCCGACCGCCCCCGTCCCGACTTCGACCGCCCCGTCCCCCTCTGCCTCTTTCCGTGCGCCCCCTCACTGTTCACGTGACAATCGCGCACGCCACCTCGTTCCTCCACTGTCAACCACGCACAGCCTCAGAGACCCCTTCACTGTTCACGTGACGCTCGCGCACGCCACCTTGTTCCTCCACCGTCAACCACGCACAGCCTCAGAGATTCACACCCAGCCTACCGGCACTCCCTCTTATTCCTCACAACTCTCCCCCCCCTCGAATCGTGAATTCGGGGCGGAAGGGAGAAGCAGTGGTTCATGGTACAGTACCAACTGATCAGCATGGGCAATGGTTCGACGACGCCTCGTAACTGGGTCACCCAGGATGAAGTCATTTTCACCAACCTGCCTGACCACACGATAAGGTCCACCTCGCCGTGGTGCCAACTTGGCCGAAACACCTTTGGCTGCATTACTCAAGGTATGAGTGTCCAAGAGCACGAGGTCACCCTCTCTGATGGTTGTTGACTGCCGATGACGGTCATAAGTTGACCTCTGGGTCTGCCAGGCAGCTGCTTGATGCTTCTTGGTGTACTTCAGGGCTTCTCCAAGGCACTGCTGGAGTTCTGCAACAAGGGCATGGTGCGCTGCCTCTGGAGGTTCCGTGTCCTCCTTGTCCCCTGCAGGTTCCCACGGAGTGCGCAACTCTCGACCATAGCAAAGCAATGCCGGAGTATATCCGGTGACTACGCTCTCTGCAGTACGCATGGCAAGGCTGATCTCGGGTATATGACGGTCCCAGTCTTTGTGGTTAGTGCAGTAGGCTCGTAGACATTGCTTAATTGTGCCATTATGACGCTCCACCATCTGTCCAGCCGGCCGGTAAGGCACAGTATGCCGATCTCTGATTCCCCAGTGTTTCAGGAGGTTGCGCCATAATGTGCTGACAAAGGGCTTCCCATTGTCACTGGTGATTGCCACTGGTGTCCCATGGCGGCAGAAGACCTGAAGCATGCACTCAAGTACTTTTGCACTGGTGGCTGCTCGTAGAGGGAATAGCTCTGGGAATTTAGTAAACTTGTCAATGACTACGAGCAAGTATTTGTGGCCACGAGGTGTAGGCGGCAAGGGTCCAATAATGTCAACGCTAAGCTCCTCCATCGGTGCTGTTGCCCACTGACTGCTCATCAGGCCTTCAGGCTTTTTGCGCCTGGGTTTTGTGCGCTGACATATAGCACAGCCCTGCACATACCTTGATATGTCCGCCCGCATGCCCAGCCAGACGAATCGTGCTGCTACACGTCTCAAGGTTTTGAAAAATCCAGCGTGGGCCGCAGTGGGATGGTCATGCGCCATTTTCAATGCCAGGTGCCGGAGGTGAGAGGGCAGCCATGGTACCTTCTTGTTGCCTCTTTGCTGAACAAGCAGGCCACTTGGCTCTAGTTCTGTTGTTTCCGCCAGATCATGGAGAAGGCGATGATCAGGGTCTGAATTTGGAAGCATAACCCCCTGGACCACAGTTTTCAGTTTTGACAGACGACTGTCACGAGCCTGCTCTTGTACGAGTTGCGCGGTGTCACTTAAGGCAGTCATATCATCTTCCAAGGCAACTGCCACTTGCTCAAATGTAATTTTCCCTTCAGGTTCTTGTGCAGCAATAGGAAGCAGTTTCTCGTGCAAGCTGTCGCTGGGACGGTCCTCACATTGAAGGGGGGCTCTACTCAGGGCATCTGCAGGTATATTTGCCAGCCCCCGTCTGTGCCTGATTCGGCAGTTGAAACCCTGCAACCGGAGGACCCAGCGTTTGACCCTGGGCGAAGCTTGGTCGGTGCTGAACATCCACGACAGGGAAGAGTGGTCGCAGTGTATCTCAAAGTTTGTAAACTCGAGATACGCCCTGAATTTGTCCACAGCCCACACCACTGCAAGGCATTCCCACTCCTGGACAGTATAGTGGCCTTCGGCTTCTGTGAGAACCCTGCTGATGAAGGAAATGGGCTGCAGTCCGTCGGGGCCAGCCTGCAGTAGGACAGCTGCAATGCCAATGCCGCTTGCATCCGTTTCAACCACGAAGGGTCGATTGAGATCTGGAAGGCTCATAACTGCATCATGAGCCAAGGACTGCTTGAGCGCAGTGAAGGCTTCCTCTTGACGCTCATCCCACCGCCATGGCTCGCTTTTCTTCAGAAGGACAGTGAGTGGATGTGCCGTCAGTGAGAAATGCGGTATGAAGCTGCGGTAATAACCAGCAAGTCCCAGGAAAGCCTGCAACTGTTTAATCGTGCTAGGTCGCGGATAATCCAGCACCGCCCGCACTTTCTCTTCATCTGGTCTGCACTGCCCAGGGGAGATGACGTGGCCCAAGAACTTAAGGGACTGACGGCAGACTTGCATTTTATCAGGGTTAATCGTAAGGCCAGCATTGCCAATGCGCTGCAACACTTCCCTAACATGCTCAACATGACTCTCCAGATCTTCAGAGTAGACGAGAACATCATCCAGAAAAGCCATGGCGAAGCTGTGATTGATGCCGTGCAACAACCGGTCCATCAGGGTTTGAAAAGTTGCCGGGCCACCTGCCACCCCGAAGGGCATTCTCGTGAACTCATATGTGCCCTGGTGGCAGATGAAGGCTGTTTTTTCTATGTCGGCCTCAGACACAGGGATCTGAAAGAAACCCTGGGAAAGGTCGAAGCTCGAAAACCACCTTGCACGACCCAATTGTGCTAGCAGCCAGTCCGTTCGTGGCATTGGGTAGGCAGGTATGCGGGTGCGTGCATTTAACGGCCGATAGTCCACAGCAAGCCGGTAGCCACCAGATTTCTTGGCAACAAGCACTGGGGCACTAGTCCAAGGGCTGGTGCTATGTCTTATAAGGCGCTGCTCCAAAAGGTCATTTACGCAGTCTTCAATGATCTTCTGCTTTTTTGCATTTACTGGGCGCAGCTTGCATCTCACAGGTGCACTATCTCCAGTGTCAATGCAGTGCTGAGCGAGGGCGGTACATCCAGGAATGGTAGTGAACAAATGAGAGAAGTCATCGAGCACCTTATTCATGGTTGGTATGCCTTCAGCTGGAATAGTGTGCCCAATGCCCGGGACCAGAAGCACTTCCTCAAATAGGCCCTGCAAGCAATAAGATTCACTATTTTCTATCGCGAGCGCGGCGGTTATATCCTTGTCGCGCTTAGCAAATGGCACAATGCACTGCGGATCAGTTCCAATAGTCCACCCCGACAACGCCACATGTAGGGACATGCCTGTTGCAGTCAAAAAGTCTCTGCCAAGCACAATGTCCCGACACAAATCTGGCACACACAGGAAGCGTTGGATGCGGTTGCTTGAGGCCCAATGTATCTTGCACTTTAAGGATGTGCTTGACTGTGACCAACCTGTGGCCAGTCGAAGAGCTCTTTCTTGTACCCGGTGTTTGGCGCCCGTCGCCTCCGCTACCCTTGCCGCTGGCGTACCAAGCAAACTCACACTGGACCCTGTATCTAGCAGGGCCAGGAATGTGGTCCGCCCAATCCGCACCTTCCAGGAGAGGCTCCCTGTTGCCGGCCACAGCCGCTATCCGCAGCGCTGTCTCGTAGGTGCTCGCCGGAGTAGCACCTACCGTCTCCCGTTTCCCGGGCACTGGGAGCGGATATGCCCGATTCTGTTGCACTGATAGCAGCGGGGCGGACCGTTACGCCGACCCGAAGGGCACTCGCGACCCATGTGGCCTATGCCTCCGCAGCGGTGGCACGTAATTGCCCCGCCGTCGAGCAGTTGGTATCGCTGCGGCTGTGGTGGCGTGGGAACATGTGGAGCAGGTGATCTGTGCAGCTGGTCCCGGTAGTAGGACGGCTGTATCGCAGCGGGGTGCAACGGCCAGTATGATGCTGCCGACGGAGGCTGGAACGGCGCCGCAGCCGCCGCCATTACTCCGGGCTGCGCTCCTGACAGGCCACTGAGGCCAGCCGTATTCCCAGCAGGCCGGAAGGCAAGGTCCCTCGCAACTTGATCGGTTGGGGGTGGCGGTGGTTTGTACTGGAATCGCCTCCAATACCGCTCCATGAGGCCGTCAGCGGCCCTTGCCAGCTCCGCGAGAGTTGCAAACTGCTTGCCCTCCACCAAATCCTGGAGCTGCGGGTGCATCTGCCGCAACACACGGTCGACTTTTTCTGTGTCCGACACTTCGCCGCCGATCCTGTCATAGAATTCCGCGATCGTGTAGATAAATTCTTTTAAATTTTCTTCGGGGTGCTGAGTGCGGAGCTCCAACTCCTGCCTCAGGCGCCGCTTCGCATCAATAGACGAAAATTCCGCAACGAACGCCGCCTTGAAGTCATCCCAGGATGCAAATGATTTGACGAAGCGCAGCCACAACTTCGCGCTCCCCTCCAGCGCAGCGGGCACGATATGCGTGAGCCTCTTGTCGGCGGCGACACCAGTCACCAAGCAAAAGGTCTCGAGGCGGTCCAGGAATTCTTCGGGTGACTGCGCATCGCCGAATCCAGCGAACCGCGGGGGCTGACTTCCCGAGGCCCGGGGAGCGCAGTCAATCGCCGGCTGGATCGCCGCCGCCGCCGCTGCTGTCATGGCGCCTGCAGGCATGGGCTCGGCCGTCATAAGCCTTTGTCTGACGGCAGCCGCGATTTGCTCGCGCTGTATGGCGGATCCGTTTGTTTGTCCCAGCAAGTGCTGCAGCAGCTCTTCCGGCACATTCACGCTGTCCATTCCGGTTGCCATGTCGATCCCGGACGAGCCCCCACTTATCACGCACGACGATACACTTCACGACAGGCAACCACGCTCACACAACCATTTATTTCTCGTGCCATACTCCGACCGCCCCCGTCCCGACTTCGACCGCCCCGTCCCCCTCTGCCTCTTTCCGTGCGCCCCCTCACTGTTCACGTGACAATCGCGCACGCCACCTCGTTCCTCCACTGTCAACCACGCACAGCCTCAGAGACCCCTTCACTGTTCACGTGACGCTCGCGCACGCCACCTTGTTCCTCCACCGTCAACCACGCACAGCCTCAGAGATTCACACCCAGCCTACCGGCACTCCCTCTTATTCCTCACATGACATTTCGAAATTTGTGCGGCGGCCTGCCATGCCCCCATTCCTACACAGAAAGGGATTCCTTGCAGTTCACGCAGCATAGCCATACGGAGTAGTTACAGTTTGCAAGCTGGAGTGCATTTGTCACATTTAAAAAAGAATGGGCCCAGAACTGCTAAAATGAAAGAAAGCAGAGGCATCAAGCTTTCTGTTGGGAAATCTATGTACACTTGGCCAGGCTCCACAAAAAAGCCAGGCTTAGCTCCGTTGCTGCTGTAACCACACAAATGCTATCACAACTACAATGTACTAGAAAAGTACACTGAACTATAACACTGCAATATGGCAAAAGAAACGGACTGGATTGGATGGTTTGTTGGCTTGAGAGCACATACTTGCCAGGCAAGCGAAAAAAAAAAAATCCACTAAATTATGGCTTAAGCAACTTCGATTGACGAAATTCAAAGATTTTTGAAGACCTCAAACAAACTTAAAAGGGTACTCAAGGCTTTGAAAATGCTATTTCTAAATTCAAGGATTTCAGGAACCGCTATGAACCCTGCTAAAAAAACGTTTTCCTCTGCCATCATACACTGTAAATATCCACTTTTGATGCTGTGTTCACTTTTAATGATGGCAATATAGCCTGTGTGAATGTACTGAAACATTTTGGAATTTCGCTAGAACACAGTGCAGGACCAAACAACCTTCAACTGCGTCGACAGTACTGGGCTAACATGACTGCATAGCAGGTGGCAAATGAGGCTAACCGGGCAAGGCATTTCAACTAAAAAAAAATGATAGTGATGAGTATCTGGCTAGTACCCATTGAACGGGTCCGTAAATTTGGCTGTTATCTCGTTGTACTTTTAAATAATGCAGATTTTTAACTTTAAATGCAATTATCTCAAAACATGCTTTTTGTATCTATGTTCCTTTTTACAGCTCAGCAACCACAGTATGTAGAATCATAGATTTTGGCCAGTATTTAGATAATGTAATAGGGGATATACTAAAGCAGAATCATTGTTGTGTGAGGAAGTGCTCTTCTGCAACACGACATCTAGTAGCTATTTACGAGTGATAAGTAGGTACCTGAAGTAAAAAATTTACAAAAAATGACCATTACAATTTTCAGAGCTAACTCTGCTTCAGTAAGAAGGGGAATGGCTTATGATCACAATGATAGTAAAGTAATAACTGTAGCTCTTATTGTTATAAAGAAAAAGGTACATAAACTTCGCTTAACACGGCAGGTATAGGGCTTGCCCCGTCCGTAAAAGTTTCCCGTCAGGAAAAGCATTGTCGTTATCGAGCTTGCTACAGATATCGGGTTAGCTTCCGTAAACTTGAACGCTTTCCCGGCGTTCTTGCAAGCTTTCGGCTTTGCTTCCAGTGCGTGGTCTTACATAAGCTTGGTGGGTTTTCGTCGATGATCTTTCGGTCGCGAATGCAAATTTGTATCATGTACGCCGTTCTTGGTTCAGTACCTGAATGCAATTTTTTCTATGAGTGATATTCATGTCTTCGACAAAATTTCTGCGTCGGCATATCGAATGGCAGGCTAGGCCTAATCAGCATTGGCTGCCTTTCGGTAGCGGTCCCGTGCTACCCAAGTTGCGGTTTTGTACAGAATCAACGAAATTATTTGCTGTGGCTGCACTTGAAGGGGCACATACCGTTAGCAACAGCTAGGGTGGCACGCGTAGCACTTGAAAGGTGGTTCGCGATTCGATTGCGGTGCCTTGAAATCAGGTGCACACCCGTGAACTCGAATGATTGCAGTCTTTCAGCGCATGAAATTTCGGACGTGATTCGACATAGTTTCAGTGCAATAAGCATAATCGAGACAGTCTGAGAAATAGTCGATGGATTTGCATGATGTTGCTTTTGTTTTTGTTCACACACTGCAAAACAACTGACATAAGCAGCATACATACCCTTGGGTGTGCGATGAGTGAGAACTTTCTCCTGGCCTTTGTACGAAACCCGTATCTGGAACTGTGGCTGGCCATCTACATCATGAATGCTGCATGTGTAGCGGCTCCGTGCACCCAGCTTGTGCATGCTCCAATAAATGCGCACCACCTTGTACCCCACCTAGCGGGAGAAAAAGGCACGACAGTAAAGCCGTGGCTCTTTTAACACTGTAACAATGCTATTCTTACAAAAGCGGCAGAAAGAAACGTAAAAACGGGCCAGGAGTACGAAGAGAAAAAATAAATGTACTCGTTCAAACAGACGGAAACACTGAAGCATTGGTATCCAGCTTTATGTGAAATCGCTGTACTGAAAGTTACAGGTCCTCCTAGCCAATTCAAAACTAGAACCCGATGCACGCTTTTGAAAGAGTTTACAAAGACTGTAGAGCGCTGGCGATTCATTTGTAGACCTCAAATTCAGAGTTTGTTCAAGTGGGTAGTGCAAGTGGCAAGCACCAATTACACTACAACATTCGAAATTATAAAAGAAATAAAAATGCTACACTGTTGTACATCACAGGGACCGACACTGAGCACTTACATTAAGATTGCTACATTGTACTTATGTAAACAGCAGTCTGAAGGTATACTAAAGATGTCAGCCCAAACACAACAAAGATGGTGGCCAAACAACAACTGGCATGGGCTTTCCTGCACTTCACTTGCCATGCAGCCACACCAAAGTGGTACTGCTTAGTCTCATTACAAAAACAATGCTGAATTCACTAAATTAGAATTATACTCAAGTAAAAGTGATCAAATAAGCTATGTACATATAAAAAGTTGGCAACATTGTGTGAGAAGCAAGCTTCACTTACGGGGTATATGCAGTTCTGTGTGTGGAAGTTCTGCAACTGGTGAGGCAATAGCTGTCCGATGCTCAGGAAAATTAGGCTGCCCACTCGCAGGAGATTCTGCTCCCCCTTGTGAAACATGCTATGATGCAACGAATGCACAAATGGTTAAAATACCAAGTAGCGACTCTAGCTCATCGTCGTCGCTACATGTTTCACAAAGCATGCAAAACAATACGACCTCGAGCCAGTGTTGGTCAACAAAACAAGGCCCTTCAATAGGACACAATACACAACAATGGTGGAGGCTAAGACAAAAAAAGGCGCCATGAGGCAACTTCAAACACCCTTGGCCACCATGTCACATAGTGGCAGCAAATCATCACACATAAAAAAAAAAAAGTCCTCATAATTGTCGCAGTGTAGCACAAAGACAAAACTACAAAGACATGAAGATATACAATATAGAAGCTACTAACATACACAAATGAATGCAAGCATGCGCACGTGCGTGACAGTCAAACCCTGCTACAACGACACTGCTACTACAAAACATTTTGAGTTCCCCATCGCGAGCCCATAGGAGTCAATGCATAAATATTCTCGCCACAATGAACACTTTTTCTTCTGCTTTTCCATTTCAATGAAATTGGACGATGCTATTCCAGGCTCAGATATTTAATGCCATGCAGTAAACAAAATCTTAAACATTTTGCTGCATTTTCAGAAGATGAAAATACGACGACGTTTAAAACACACGTTAGAATCACCAGAAACCGCCGCTATTTACTAAGCATGGGGGCTGCCATTGCTCGATAGCAATGGCAATGCGACTGCCCTGCTTTTGCTACTGGCTTGATTCTGAGCCGCAGACAACCTGAAGCTGAAGTTCAGTCGCTCAGTTCATAGTTTTCTTCACGCAGCTACTGGGTGCAATGGCGGAATGATGCCTTTTCTGGTGCAAATGCTTTTGGTTATTTATGCGCTTGCCCACTGTGGTCACTAATCAGAGCAAGGGTTCATCTGTGTTGTCACCAAAATCGATCAGCCGTGAGTGGCGAATGATAAAAATAGCATAGAGTAAGGCATAAGTCACAGCTCCACGATACCACGCCTCCACCTCAACATTGTCCAATACACATTGATGGCTGACAGCTGCTGATGTGAGTGCGTCGGTTCAACTAATACGTTCGTTCATGAAAACCGTTGTCACCGTTGTTTTAGCATGCTTTTGACCATGGCATCGATATGCATAGGTGACAATCGCGTCGCGACACTGCAAAGAAAAAAAAAGGAATGCAGCGGACACTTTTTGAATTTTAGGAATAAAATTTATTTTGGTTTGCTAGCTCAGGTCAGCTATATCTTTTTTAGATTTTATTACAACGACATTTTTTGTATGCCCCGTTAGTTCCGTTGTAGCGGGGTTCGACTGTGCACAAGAACAAAGACATGATTGATTTGTGGGGTTTAACATCCCAAAACCACTATATAATTATGAGAGATGCCGTAGTGGAAGGCTCCGGAAATTTCGACTACCTGGGGTTCTTTTAACGTGCACCCAAATCTGAGCACACGGGCCTACAACATTTTCGCCTCCACCGGAAATGCAGCCGCCGCAGCCGGGATTCGATCCCGCGACCTGTGGGTCAGCAGCCGCACAAGAACAAAGACAGACAAAGGTGCCACATTAATACATGTCTCTGCTTCCTTGTGTCTTTGCGCTACACTATGATAATCCACAAACAATCCCAAACACCAGGCTTATTTCGTGTCTTCATGGAAAGAAACATGACAGATTGTTATTTAAACAAAGTTATAGAGTTTTCAATGTAACAACAAGCAAACAGAACAATGCAAAGTGAGAACAACGCTAATGTTATGCATCGTTATATTGCCGCTTGACAGTAGTACACAGATGTAAAGGGGGAAAAGTAAAGGCTGGAAAAGCACAAGTGAATGGGCTCTGAAATGGCCCAATTTTAACAAGGGCTAAACAGAAATGCACATAAACAAAGTTTTCATTTTTAAGTATGAGCGCTCACCTCGCAACTTGCTTGTGCTCGTCACGGCTTATGTACACCCTACGGAAAACAGCCACTGATTCGAGAACGTTCTCAATATTCGGGACACGAGGAGTGTGCTGAGGACAGAGGATGGTCTGCAATGAAAAACAAAGCCCAATGGAAACCCTGCAACTCTACAGAATAACATGAAACATAATTCTATTCACATGTAGGCTGCCACCCTACATATCAGGAATGTCACGCGAGACTGTCATTTCAGAAGGCGAGATATCGCTGCCAAAAGGCAGAAAAAATTCAGGCAGAGCTATTCAATATGTGCCTGTGAGAGCGAATGCACAATACTCTCCGTAAACGGAAATCTATTAAACGGAACTGCTGCTTAAACGGAGCAACTACTTCCAGCACGATTGGTTTCATACATGAATTCTCCGCCCTTGTTGATCTGTCAGAAAACGGAATGCTATGAAACGAAACACGTTTTCCTAGCCCATTCAGTTTCCGTTTAAAGAGAGTCTATTGTATTCAGACACATGATGACACAGTTTTCGATCGTTGACACTCTTATTAGGAGTGCATCTCATTTCCCACTCTCATGACATACCCCACATAAATCTGAAAGACTGCAAGTGTGCATAAAATTTGTAGACAAGGCATTCATTGGATTCAGATTTAATGCAGCCAATGCTATGAAAGTGTGGCGACGCAAAGCGGTGCTTCTGTGTGCGGTGCAGAGAGCGCATGCGCCCGCACGAGAAAGTTATCTTCGAGAGGAAGGGTGATAATAAAAGTCAGTTGTTGTTTGGGACGCGAGTTGTTCACTTGCGCAGCTCTGCCGAGCGACGCGTCACAACATTGGTGACCCGAACGTGGAATACAGACACAGCGACCGGAGTGTCGAACCAGCCGCAATATGGATTCAACGCCCACGACCGACGCCCCTCCGACAGTCTTCTCAGTCGACGGTAAGCTGCCCCCTTTTTGGACTGCGGACCCCGCACTTTGGTTCATAGAAGTGGAATCTCAGTTCGCAGCCAGACGAATCACCGCAGACCTTACGAAATACCACTACGTAGTCAGCAGTCTGCCGCCCGCCATAGCCAGTGAAATCGGGGATCTGTTGCTCGCACCACCGGTCGAAAACGCATATGCAACGCTAAAAGAAACCCTTATTCGCCGAGTTACGCCCTCCGAACCACAACGACTGCAGCAATTGCTTCGCGGCAAGGAACTCGGCGAACGTACTCCTAGTCAGCTTTTGCGGCACATGCAACAGTTGCTTGGCGGAACATCAAACACGATAGATGGAGTATTGTTCCGAGAACTTATTTTTTGCAAAAGCTGCCTTCAGGCGTCCGCATGGTCATCGCGGCCTCAGAGCACAAGGATTTAACCGCAGCCGCCGAACTTGCTGACAAACTGGTAGCAATGACACCGCCCACACCCATGGCTGCCGTGCAAGCGCAACAGCCTCTAAACGAACTTCAAGAGATGCGTGAGGAGATTGCTCGACTTGCCGAAACAGTATCAGCTTTGCACGCTAGCAGGAGGGCGCAAACGATAACCGAGCCTAACACGCCGCTATCGCAAGAGCAGCATGAGCATATCTGCTGGTATCATCGGAGGTTCGGAAGTAGTGCGCGTAAATGTGTCCCACCGTGCGCGCACTCGGGAAACAGCCGCGGCAGGCACTGAGGGCGACCAGTGCTACTACGTTGCCTCTAAGTCGTCCCTCAGTATTTTTTCATTACCGACCGCAACAACGGAGTACGTTTCTTAGTAGACACAGGCGCCGAGGTGAGCGCTATACCGGTGTCACAAGCTGAAAGAAAGAAACCTAGTACATCGCCCTTGCAAGCTGTCAATAACACGGTGATAACAACATATGGCCATCGTTCACTGTCGCTGAACTTCGGTTTCGGCAGCACGTTTAGCTGGGTGTTCATAGCTGCTGATGTCAAATTCGCCATACTAGGCGCAGACTTTCTCCAGTTCTTCGGTCTGTTGGTCGACGTCCCCAACAAACGGCTTCAAGATCCCATTTCTCGGGGAGCGGTACAAGGCACGCCGTGTTGGCACCCCCCCATCAGCCCGGCCTTGCTCAGTCCGGCTGGAGAAACGTACTTCACCGCAATACTACAAGAGTTCCCAGAGCTGACACGACAGCCACAGGCATTTCCAGAAGTAAAGCACGGCGTCCTGCATCACATCGAAACCACAGGCCCACCGGTCTATGCGCGACCACGGCGCCTGTCACCCGAGCAGCTGCGGTTGGCTCGACAGGCGTCTGCCCACATGATGGAACTCAGGATAGTACGTCCTTCATCCAGCCCATATGCGTCACCTCTTCACATGGTCCCAAAATCAACAGACGGTGATTGGCGCCCTTGCGGGGACTATCGAGCGCTGAAAAGGGTAACCGTGCCAGACCGTTACCCAGTCCCGCACATTCATGACATGACCTCCTTCCTGCATGGTGCTACCATTTTCTCTAAAATAGATCTACCCGTAGCACCGGAGAATATCCCCAAGACCGCAATAACAACGCCGTTCGGAATGTTCGAGTTCCTACACATGCCTTTCGGCTTACGCAACGCCAGCCAAACTTTTCAACGGTTTATGAATGGCGTTGTCCGTGGCCTCGACTTTTGCAAGGTATACATCAATGATCTTCTGATTGCTAGCAGCACTCCTGAAGAGCACGAGCGGCATCTGCGCTACGTACTTCAGCGACTGACAGAGAACGGCATCGTTATCAATACGGCAAAGTGCGTGTTTGGGGTACCGACACTATCATTTTTGGGCCACAGCATTTCAAGTGCCGGAGTACAGCCCCAGAAGGACAAGGTGGAAGCAGTACGGCAGTTTCCACAGCCTGAAAACCTCCGCCAGCTTCGAGAGTTCCTGGGACTCGTGAATTTCTACCGTAGGTTTATCCCGAAATGCGCCAACATCCTTCCCTCTCCACAGCCTACTTGCGGCATCTGGATCTAAGGCAACTGCCATTCAGTGGAACGACCAATCCACACAAGCATTCCGGATGATAAAGGAAGCTCTCGCAAATGCTACCATGCTCACGTACCCGCAGCTGGGTGTTCCTCAGTGCGTCATGGTGGACACCTCCGATGCAGCGATTGGAGCTGTGTTGCAGCAGAGGGCGAGCGGAGTGTGGCGACCAATTTCCTTCTACTCCAGAAAACTGAGCCCGTCCGAACGAAGGTACAGCACCTTCGGTAGGGAACTCCAGGCCATATACGCGGCTATCCGGCATTTCCGACATTATGTGGAAGAACAAGAATTTTTTGTGCTCACGGATCACAAGCCACTCACCTACGCATTACGCGCGAACTCCAATTCTGGTGCGCACGTGGCACGGGAGCTCCGCCAAATGGCGTACATCGCAGAATTCACGACAGATATACGCCATGTTAGTGGCACGGATAATGCTGCTGCCGACGCTCTTTCGCGCGGTCCAGTGAATGCCATCAGCCTGCCGAGCGGCGTGGACTTCACCACACTTACGACGGCTCAACGCAGTGATGGAGAATTGAAGCGTCTACTGACGTCTTCAACCAGCGCCTTGAAGCTGCAATGGTTGGCAGAACCCACAGGATCCGTATGCTGCGACATGTCTACAGGCAAGGCCCGACCGTTCGTCCCCTCGAACCTCTGTCGCAACATTTTTGACTTGCTGCACAGCCTGGCGCATCCAGGGATTCGAGCCACGCAACGGCTATGCACAGCGAGGTTCGTGTGGCCAGGAATAAACCGGGATGTCCGATACTAGACACAAGAGTGCATCGCATGCCAGCGCTCCAAAGTTCAGCGACATACTGTGACCCCCTTGGGATCCTTCCCTCTGCCGGACTGTCGATTTGCCCATGTGCATGTTGACATTGTGGGACCACTGCCGTTGTGCCAGGGGCAAAGCTACTTGCTAACCTGCATCGATCGCTTCACGCGATGGCCGGAGGCCGTGCCCATTCCAGACATGACTGCTAATACCGTCGCCCGCGCATTTGTCTTCCACTGGGTGGCCCGCTTTGGAGTGCCGGCAACCGTGACTACAGATCGCGGAACACAGTTTGAGTCCGCCCTGTTCGCAAGCGTCACCCGGCTCTTGGGTACTCACCGCATAAGAACAACTGCCTACCATCCAATAAGCAACGGTATAGTGGAAAGGTTCCATCGCCATCTGAAGGTGAGCCTGACGACTACTGCGAGTCACAGTTGGGTAGAGGCACTGCAGTTTGTTCTGTTGGGCGTTAGGACGGCTCTGAAAGCAGATATTGGATGCTGCTCCGCTGAACTGGTGTACGGAACAACGCTTCGCCTCCCAGGGGAGTTTTTCACTACCAGTAAGGACGAAAACGTGTACGCGAACGCGGACTACGCCGTGCGACTGCGAGACATCATGAGCAAGCTACGCGCTGTTCCTCCGCGTCCGCCCGCAGCCCGGCCAGTCTACGTGGACCGGGAACTCTCCTCCTGCTCTCACGTGTTTGTGAGGCACGACGCCGTACAGCCTCCACTCCGGCCCCCGTACGACGGGCCTTTCAAGGTGCTGCGATGGGCAGACAAGCACATTACAATTGACAGAGGTGGTCGTCACGACGTGGTTTCTCTAGACCACGTAAAATCAGCACACGTGGACTCCGACAGCGAAGCACCTGCACCACCTCGAGCTCCATCTTCGCAGGCACCCCCGGCAGACCACGTAGCGCAGCCCCAACAAGTCCTCAAACGGTTTACGCGGAGTGGACGGTGTACGAGACCCCCGGTGCGCATGAACTTATGAACCGCAGGGGGACGTCCGAGTGCGACCGTTGTGCGCGCACTCACTGGGGGGGGAGTACTGTGGCGACGCAAAGCGGTGCTTCTGTGTGCGGTGCAGAGAGCGCATGCGCCCGCACGAGAAAGTTATTTTCGAGAGGAAGGGTGATAATAAAAGTCAGTTGTTGTTTGGGACGCGTGTTGTTCTCTTGCGCAGCTCTGCCGAGCGTCGTGTCACAACAAAAGAAACAATGTATAGACGACATTAAAGCAAAGACCACCGCCATTTAGCCAACACAGAGCTATACTAGCTAGTATTTTATAGTAAGTGAACACAAACAAATGTTGAGTCATCACTGGACAACATTGGTCAGTGGATGCCAGAGGTGATAGCAAGAATGTAAACGTTGCCATTCACTGCTCTTCACAAACCACAGCGGGATAGGCTCATGCACAGTTCAAAAAGAGAAGAACGCACAGGATAAGACTGGACTTTACTACTCTTCACAAACCGCAACGTAATAGGCTAATGCATGGTTCACCGCTTCTCCGAAAATCGTAGCGGGACAGGCTCGCGCTACAAAACACGCACCCACCTTGTCCTTGTAGAAGGAACATCCTTCGAGGCTGGCGCAAGCAAAGTGGAAGGAAGCGGGGCAGCGGATTCGGAAGCAGTGCAGTGAAGCACCCGTGCGATGGCATCGGCTGCAGTTGACAAGCAGCGCCCGGCGACAGGCGTTGGCCACATTCATCAGAGCTCCATCGCACGTCTCGTACACTTCCTGCGACCACAGGGCGCAATTCAGGTGCACCCACAGGTCCACGTCTAGGTTCAGAAGCCTGCAAAAAGAAGACAAGGATAGTTATTACAAGTATGCTATTACAAAGCACGGATTCAAGACAACGTCATAAACATTGCCTAGCCTTCCTCTCGGCATTAAAAGCCTGCTTCCACATAAGGACTAGTGCTCTATATGTTTATTAACTCCACTGATTGGTAGGCAATGTTGCTGCTCATGTGAAACAACCTATTGCCTGTCAACAATGCTCCTCAGTACCAATGTGAAGGCATTAAAAAGGAGATGTGCAACTCAAGCAAACATCTTATTGCTGGACTCATCAACGATTGTTAATAAAGAGGTCGTGCAATGTTTTCACAAAATTTTCAACTACGTGTGTATTCAGAATCCCGGCCGTTGATTCAATACTATACCTCAACTCATTTGATCGTCTGGGCTCACTGAATAGCTAGAAAAGCACAATTCCGGTTTCCCAGCTCACATTCCTGTCAACTGTCCAGCTGACGTCACTTCAAGGCAGCCGATGAAAGTTCCTGTCGTCGACAAAACATGGCAATACAGCTACCTTTTTGAGCCTTGTTACCTGCGGTGCATTACACTAATTCGATTACGGTGCCGTGACGACCATAACAATACTATTGTTGAAAATGAAGAAGTGAGCCATGGGCTTGGGGGAAAGCGCGACAGACGTAAAAGAAGAGGAGAATAAAGTTCGAATGCGGAGCCAGCCCTGACGACGTAAACATCGTGTTCCTGACCTCCAACCATGGGTCCTCGTTCTTAACATTTGGCGCCGAAACCAACGAGTGGTCGTTCGCAGACTACGATGTTGTCAGCCCAGCGTCTTTGAAAGGTGCGTAGGACTGTCAGGGCCAGCGTCTCATTAAATATTACGCTCCTGACAAGACTACCGCAGGACTCCGACACCGAGGCACATGAGGTAAACAGGCAAGTCACCGTTTTGATGACTAGAGAAGCTGAGTTCTGCCATTTGGACAAGCAGATCCTTGACATAACTGAAAACGAGGCAGTTGACCAAGAACTAGAAGATGCTGCACACTACCATGAGATCACTGAGAGGCAATATTTCCGGTCAAAACGCAAACAGTATGTTCACGTACGCAACATGAGCTATTCTGTGCTTTCTTACGCCAGTCAGGACCATGGAAACTACAACCGAGTTGGTTTCGGTAAAATTGCCGACAACCCTAACATTTCCTTAGGCATGAAAAGAGACATTGGATGCTTAGACAGCATAAGTTCCAACCACAAGAGCGGAATGTTGACGAGACAAGACAATTCTGCCGAGGTTGAAGGGAATAACACCGAATCGATCGTTACAGTGTGTTGAACCATAGAAATACTACATCAGAATTCAATGATTCAAGACTCTCTCGGTAAAAATCAAGCGACGATGACGTGCATGAAAAATAAGCAAATGTTTCACGCCGCGAATCGTTGGACAGGGTAGGGACTCTAGCAGTACTCCAAAGTTGGGGGAATAACTGAGAAACGAAGATCAAGTGATTACCAGTCTTGAAAAAGCAAAAAGAAGTCGAACAGATGATGGCAGCTATGGCATTTGTGATAAGACTGATCATGATGAATACATTGCTGCCACGAGCCAATTGATGATGAGTGCCAAAGAACCTGCCGTCAGCTTACCAATAATAAACATTGACCAATTTGATCAGCTGGTCGTTGAAATGAGCAGTCCTACTACGTTTCCTGTTGAGTCCACATCGTTAGATGCACAGGTCGGACGTCAGGACATTGTTCCTATCAACTTCGAGGTACCAGACGATGCTGTGATAAAACAGAAGGATGGTCTCCTAAAATCGAAGGTGAAAACGAAGTGCAGCGAAGGATTCTGGAAAAGGAGCTGCAGTGAAAACGCCACCACGTGAACAAATCGCACAAGCGTTGCAGCTAGCATGTTGCTACGGAGCAGCGAGATTGCAAGGCATAGAGTTTGTATCGCAGCAAGAAACGTCGGTGCATGTATCCGGGCACTTCATGGCAAAGACTCAGAAGAGCTGCAGTTGTGCGGCCCTGTCTGACGACGTACATGGTTGGCATAGCGAGGACTAAGCCATCCAAAACACACAGTAGAACACAACCTGACGCAACAAGGAAAGAACATAAACCTGGGACGCTGCACTGGCTGCACCAATCAAGCCAAGGCAACCGGCGTTAACCCAAGGATACACACGTAACAGAGCCCAGGTGTACTTGAAAATGGAACCGAGCAGATTACTCGCTGTAATTGCACAGCATACAATTCAGAGCACAAAAACTGCTGTCTTATTTTTTTCTTTTTCAGGTTCTTATAAATCTATTACTTTGAAGTGAATTAAGCCTAACACTCTGTAACTTCTCTAACTATGATGTTTCACCGACGTCACTCGTTAGCGCCTAAAGCGGTCAATGGTGCCGCATGGTCACTGGCGAGCCTGAAAAAGCTGCGATGTCAAACGGGTGTCATTAATTACAGACTCGATATTGTGCCAAAATATTTTGGAATCAGTATGTCTAATCCTTATTGAAGCAGAGAAAATTGCGACTGGGAAGTTTATTTAATTTTCATTTCACGACCCCTTTAGGCTTTAATTTAGAACTCAGAATCATCTGCTTCTTAACCACAAGCTAAAGGTGTACCGAAACAAAAACATTTGCCGTGCGTTTTTTTTGCCGCAATGTGTTGCTGGCAGCCTGTTAGGCATATCGTTTCACACGGCACATCGTTTGCTGCAGCACGCGACAGATAATTAATAACAGGCTCCTCATTACCGACCAGTCTCAGTTTAGGTTTGAGAGTGCTCCAAGAACGACACGCTGCCGGGTGCAACTATCACCACCCAGCCTGTGCAACGCTCAACCACGTCGAGCGTGTGCAATAGGGGGGTCACTAAAGGCCACCTTGAAGTAGTCAATAGCACGAGAGAGTCAATCCCTCACGCAAACTTCAAAATTAATTTAGAATACTTTCAAGCTATATTCACTGTTGATATTTCGCAGAGATATACACCTGTTCACGGAAATCGATTCCACTGGCTATATCAGCCACAAAATGTTGTGCCACCATCCCTTTAACCTCCCTGCACAAAAACTGCCCACTCAGCCCACTGGAAAAAAGAAGCAAAATCACGAGGAACACAAGCAGTTGCAATGGGCACTGCCTCAATAAGATGCTGAGACAAAGAATGAGAAGAGTTCCCATAAGCGAATATTATTCCAGCAACATTTCCGTCAAGTCATACATAAATATCTTCGCAATCATCATCATAACATGATCTTGCACATCTGCCTTGGCAATATGTCTCGAATTGTTCGAGCAAGAGGCCATGGGTGTGAACATGAACTGCTTCACGGCTAAGAAATGTTTTACCTGGCAGGGCCATTAGTCTCGCCGTCCCCGATGTCATGGCACAGGATGCACTGCCTCGTGTCTTCAACAGGATTCTCGGGCTTCAGGAATATGTCCTGAGCATCCAACAGCTGCTGGAAAAAGGCCCACTTCACCGAAAAGAACTGAGCACTCAATCACTCAAATTTTTGGGGTACAATCGCCAATCGTTTATTCAGACGCTGAAAATTTGGACATGCTCGTTTAGTCGGTCACCTTTGCGGCACCGCAACTCGTCTCATTGAAGCAATGTAAACTTGTGACCGTAAACTTGAACACGCCACAGGGTGTTATCATTTTTCAGGCTCCAGCTGGTTGATGTGCGACGTCAAAACCTGTCTGTGATGCTTACAATTTTTTTGCTAGGCTGCCAGAACTGAACAGGTAGCCCTGGCTATGGCTGCAGATCATGCCAGTGTCAGAATCCACCCAGAAATTACAACCCCAATTCAAAAGGCTATGTTTGTCAGTTACACATAATGGTCGCCGTTCGACTTTAGCCAGTCGCGTGTCCAATGAAGGGTACCTCGGCCAACCTACAGGCTCGGAGTAGTCAGCACGGTGTGGTATATATGTTCTGTGGTGTACGAGAATGACAGCGTGTACAAAGAGAAACAGAGAACCACTGAACTACACTGACCACTTCACGAGCACTCCAGCTTGACCCAGCTCATCGTCGTTCCCTTTTGGCATGTAAGGGTTCGCATTGTCAGTTGTTTCTACGGCTTGTCAGTTGTTTCTACGGCTAGGACTGATCTGCGTCTCCCTCTCGTTTTTTGCTCGACGTGCGTGGTCTGAACTGCTGGAATGGCTCCGACGCCATCCCTTTTATCTGTGCCGTCAGTAACAACCAATTAAAGCGGCAACGACAAAACATTGACAATGGCGAAGAAAACCGCGGTTATTCGGCAGGTCCAAGGCAGCTGATCTCAATTCAATGTTTCTTGAAAGTTTTCACAGAACTTTAAGACAGCATTTGTCAGGTCCTCAAACTAGCGCAGGGGGACAGCAACTCCTTGAAGCGCCATCCACACACTACTTCAAAAGCGGATTTAGCATGGGCCGATACAGTGCTATTACACAGTTATAGTCTAGCTGGCTTAGCGGAATAGTAGCATCGAAATGAGCATGTGCAGTGTGCTGAATGACCTATATATTCACTATATGCACACTATTTTTCAAAGTAAGCATTACCACGTTTGCATGGCTAATGCAGTGTACGCAAAAACATGGCAGTAGTTTTCAACGCCCGCTTTGAACTGAATTTAGTGTTGATGTGAAGAGAGCCACTTCTCTGGTAGCAAATAACTGCCTAAATTGTAGGCTTGTGCGAATAGTAAATTTTAGGTTCAGAGCGAATAGTGAATTGGCCGAATGATTTCGAAGCACATATCACATATAAAGAAACATCGGCACATTTGCCACGACTCCACTAACCTAAGAATTGAAACAAGGCATAAGTGAATGCAATTATTCCTGGTTCAAGGGAACTGGAAACAATGCTGAATAGCAGCTGTATTTGACTTTCGATAGAACGAAACAATGAACTTGTGAAATATACATTTTAAAATTGATTTTGCTTAAAGCATATAAGCTAGCATGATAAGCTTTTAATACTTCAATAATCGATGTGAGAGTAATATGTCATTTTACCTTGGAATGGTTCTTCAACACACTGTAATTTCTCTTTAACATGGGTATCCATAACATAGCACCCCTCCACTGTAGTGAAAACACCTTTGCAGGTGTTTGCATGTGTACTAATTAATATATATATACATCTATATGTTTATTCAAAATACTTCGATATATTCAATAATTTAAATTCCCATAAGACGAACTTGTATACTATAATATTTGTTTGAATATTCAAAGCACTAGAATATTTCCACAAGCCTAGTAAACTGACTTTGCTTGCCTTCAATGACCAAGTATTATGGATAACTTGGCATAGTTTTTGAAGTCGCCTCCCGTTTTCAAATGTCTAAGCCTAACTAGAGGATAGGTGTAAACAAATCCGCAAGATGAAAAAGTTTTTGCTTTTGGTTTGTGGTTCACATTTATTTACTTTTATTACTGAAAAAAGTAGTAATATTGCTGCGTGCGAGGGCACAGGCAAGCGTTTTGTTCTTTTTTACCTTTTTAAAAATGTACACCCTCTGCTAGATGACACCATCGTCGCCTCTTGGGTACATATATGCTGTCCCGCTAAACTAAAATGCGCGGCCCGCATGGTACGTTTGCGGCACAGTAACGCTATTTACTTAGCCCCCCTATCACTAAACTGTTTAGTGACAACCTGCTGTGGTTACCAAACACTGGCTGAAATACAGGTCGACTTGGTTGTCTGTGAGCATGCGTGTGCGCAGATGTGCATGGACAAGTTTTTCTGGCCACTGGGCCACAAAGGTGCTTTTGTTTTTTGGTGAATGTTTTATTTTTCAGACTTTTGATAATTCTAAAGGCGGTTTCTGCGAAGTCCCAAATAAATGTTTAGCAACTGCACAGGCAGTATGGCTCGCAGTACAAGACTTTTCAAAAGATCACAAGGAGCACAGCTGCGCCTTTTGCAATAAAATACACAGACGGCATAGGGAAACAGAGGGTAGGAGGTTGGAAAGGGGGTTTATTTGGGTCATTCAGGAGCAGGGAGGGTTGTAGCACCAGCAGGTATGGCATGGCCAGGGTAAGGAGTGGGTACGGACCACGTGGTGGCGATGGGGCGTGCCCATCACCTCCATTGCGTGTCAAATGATTTGCCGCGCCGTGGTCGACGGGAGCCATTAAACCGTACCTGGCCAACTTCCTCTTCCGAAGGAGGTTCATACTTTGTAGCGCCCACCAACTCGGGAGACCACAGCTTCCATCGGACATCTTTCCACTTCTTCACCATAGGCTCCTTGGAGAGCGGTGGTAAAAGGAAAGAAAAAGAAGAGACAGAGATGACGACACACTGTTGCTGGTTTGCAATGACAAAGAATTGCACACTTTTTTGTTTGAACCAATAAAACAGAAGTGACAGAGATTGACATCAGCAGGTTGATCTAGATTGAAAAGTCAGTCTTCGTTTCGTAGCACTGAACTTCTCTGTTGTGAAAGGCACACATTTTGTAAGAATGGCAAAACGAATTGACACTGCCTGTTGAGGCTTCTGCGTTGCCAGTTTTGGAACAGAAGCACCAGCCGATCGATTGAAGCAGGAGGTTGAAATAGAGGACGGAAGCAGGCCTGAATTCTCCAGGCAACAAAATGATACATTTGAACACGGAAAACGAGGATTCACCGCACGATGAGTAATCCATTAATCGAGTTTAAGCTAATATTTTTTTGTGTGAGTGCATCAACTGATGAACTGGCCAAGTAAACATGCTTAAACGCCAAAAAAGCTCGATGAGAGCAGCTACCATCGTAGCACAACCGATAGTGCACCACATGCGCAATGCAAAGGCAAGCACTTTTAGTTTCCTATATACCATAAATACTTTTATGTAAAGTACAAATAAGGCCTCCTCTGTATTCTTTGAAATTACTATAATGCCAACTACGATCTCATCAGCTTCATTATCTATTCACACCATAGGCTTGTGCACGAGACAACTTCCTCTTATCAAGCTGTTTTCATTGGATATGATGATGTTGCTCACTACATTATTATACAGGGGTAACCAATATGGAAATTTGCTTGCGAGTAAAGATGGCTTTTGCCCTAACAAGCTGATATATAAAAATAATCATTGGCTTATATTCCAAAACCACAACAAAATTACGGGGGATGCCGCAGAGGGGGACTTCGGAAATTTCAAGCGCCCGGGGTTCGGTAACATACATTAAAAACAAGGTACACAAAGCTCCAACGTTTCGCCTTCATCAATATCCCCTTAAGGTGCAGCGTCCACATATGTGGACATCCCTTGTTTTTGCCAGTTCCTCTGACCAGTGGGAGGAAAAGGGCAAGACACGTCTTGCTTTAATCCCATTGTGCTGGGTGCGACTACGATCGATAACTTTTGTAAAGGTATTACAATGTTCAACAGGCCGCTCAACGTGTTGCATTCCAGGACACACTTCATGAGCATTTCTTTTTTCACTCAAAATGAACAAAACTAGAAATGAACTGCATGTGCATTTTCAGCTCAAGATTTCCTTTTCATTGTGCGAAAATTGAACATGACTGACTGCAGCATAATCGTATATTTAAATGTTTGGTAATTTTTATTAATTTACAAAGCTAAGAAAAACAAAGTATTTCTTAGCTTTCTTTTCTGGAATGTAACACGAGTGCGCTAGAATCATAATGCACGAAATTCAGACATTTACGGACAGTGCAATTGCAATTTGCGCCTGGAGAGAATGTGCAACCACCATGGCTGGAACTCATTCCTGCAACTTTCGGGTCAGCAGTCAAACACTGAAATCACTGAAATGCTGCGGAGGTCGCCTAGACTGAGCAAGTTGTTACCTGTTCTTTGCCGATAGAATGCCGCGCTGCCCTTTTCCTGTGGGTGGAGTCCATGCTCGCTTGGCTGTCCTCCTCGTCGACGAGCAAGCGGCTCTCAGAGTTGTTGTCCTCAACGCTTGCTCGGGTCTCCTCCTGAGGCGTGATGGCCCTGTCGTCCTCTTCTCGTTTGATGCAGGGCTCCTCATCTTCGTCCATCTTGGTCGTCAGGCGTTCCTTGCAGCACTCGCCCCGAAACTCGCCATGCTCGTCCTTTGCGGCGTGGCACACCACGGCGGCCTCCTGATTCAGTCAGGAAAAGCCAAGTGGGCCCACGATCGTTACAGTGAGCATTGTAATTGAACAGATGATCGCGCCAAAATCAGAACGAATCTAGAAATGAGGCTTGGCAAGCACTGCAGTGGAGAACTCGAGCATTAGTTTATGTGACAGAGTTTCCTAATAGAAGTCACTAGAAGGAAATGTGGCGCTACTGTCTACAGAAGCCGCAAGGCGTGGCCGTTCAACCAGTGTAGTAATGGTAAGCAGCACATAGATTTGCCTGAAGTACGTTGCTACTGGCCGCAGAACAGCCTTGAAACTTTAAATATTTATAAATTTCAACAAAGTGTATCCTCATGAATCAAGTAACCTGTAATAATTATGTACATGCAAAAAACTCATCTTATTAAAGCAATTCAAAAACTATCAGCGCTTAAGAACATTTAAATGTGTGGTGAAATGAATACTAAGTGCAGATAATATCACAAGAGCATGTATTATGTCAAGAAGCACGACAAATTGACGGGTCCGTGCACTTAAAATGGTCACAATAATGCTAGCCGAACCATCCCAGTGCCCCAGTTCCCTCCAGCAAATTCTAGTTCAGCCATCCCATCGTTTTCCCCAACCAAAACTGGTAAATCAACACTCTTGCTAAGTGCCACAGTCAGCTAGGAAGAAGGCAAAGAATACAGGCCAAACAAACTACGACATGCATTCGCTGCAGTAGGGTCCTTCACTTCCCGCGAGAACCAGGTTTCGTGCAGAGCGGTGTTTAAAAGGCATTCCAAGAGCTCGCAGGAAAACCACATGCAGGCTTGACAAGATATGCCAAGACGATTTCACGTAGGAATGATGCTGAGCTAGAAAATAAACTAGAAAATACACCCAGCTTACAGTAAATGGCCCTAAGTATTAACTTCTAACGATACACTAACAGTACCACGGAGTTAGACAAATACCTGCTATTTCTCAGTTACACATGTTTTTTTTTATTTTTATCTGCACATGAATGCCCTCAAACATATGGAAAGTAGTGCAGCAGAATTCAGCATGACCTTCCACATCATTTCACAAACCGCGAAAGAAATTTTGCTGCTTACCGATGCCACAATCTTTGAAAGGCTCTTCAACTAGATTGCACTTTTTTATTTTTTGTCTGTATCATCAAAGACTACTTGGAACGGTCGTGTGCCTGGTTTGTCTGGGGCTCTCGCTACCAGAAGTTGGTGAAAGCACCTAATACAGAACACCAGTATCGCAATGTGTCCATTGAGATTTGCAGTAAGTAAAACCCCTTTATAAGAGACATGTTTCATGGAGCTAATTTTGTCCTTTATATTGGAAGAGTGGTTCCCTTGACTATAGAGTGGGTGTGCTGTGTGTCATTATGTTAGATGCCCTATGAGATGGGCAGTATCAGCACTTGCATGTCTTTTTACCAAAAAAAAAAAAAAAAACAAGTGAGAAAGTGCACGTGAAGAAGTGCAAAAGAGTCACAGCAGCCCAATGTGGGTGCGTGCTATGAGAAAAATGGAATAGTTGTGTAGGCAGCGAAAAAACCTTTGCCTCCTTTGCTTCGACCACTCGTCATGCACACTCCACTACGAACAGTCACCTGCGTCCGCATTAAGGGCGTGTTACCGTTGTTTGTTCATTCTGTTTTCAGTAAAGAATAGTTTTGTCAACACAGAGCACAGATATGAAGCATGCGACCTTGATTGCCCTGCATATGAAGGTTTCATACGCGGCCAAGCTTTCGCCTTTGTAACCAAAACGTGGACTAACCAGCTTGGAAGACCTAATCTCTCCCAACCATGAACCGAAACTTAGTTTCATGCGTGCTGCCCTTGATTTATCCCTTGAGTGGGATCTTTTTTATGCCCGATCTCGACAGTGTCTAGAGCAAGCACCCTATGATGGCATGCCAAGTTTCAAACCACACGTTAGGCCTAACGAATGCTAGCCGCCTCGTCAGTAGTGGCGGTAGACTATCTAAGTTAGACAGACTATCACTACTATCTATCACTAGATATACTATCACTACTATCTCAGTTAGGTAGACTATCACTACTGTTTTCAACATCGCACAGCACCCGGGAAATCAAAAGCATGTGGAATTCCAATCGCTGTTTTACTCTTAGTTTCTACACAGTGTTGATAGATGGATATGTGGGGTTTAACGTCCCAAAACCACCATATGATTAGGAGAGACGTGGTAGTGGACGGCTCCGGAAATTTCGACCACCTGGAGTTTTTTTTTAACGTGCACCCAAATATGAGCACACGGGCCTACATCATTTCCGCCTCCATCGGAAATGCAGCCGCTGCAGCCGGGATTCAATCCCGTGACCTGCGGGTTCCACGCAGTGTGATACTACGGTAGCGCAGTCTACATAAACAAGGAGGTCCAAAATGTTAGTTGGCGACTTATCACTACGGCACATTTTTTCAGCAGATCCGCAAACGTAAATTGCAATTCCTAACAGCTCGAAATAAACCAATGTCTCAAACAAGATAACTTTTCCTTCATTGCACACACAACAACAACAAAAAAAAGAATAAAGGAAGATAATTGCCTAGTTGGCCTTTGCAATTCCACAATCTTCTGTGACAAACAAGATAGAAATGCTAATAAAGTTTGGTTGGTTCAATCACTATTGGCTTATTACACAAATCTAGTCATGATGTACAAAACCAAGATCACTGAGCTTATACAAAACTAAACCTCAACAGTATTCAGACACTTATGAAACTTTCAGGCTGCCAAGGCCAAGGATATGGCAAGGCAGCCTGCAAAGGATTTGGCAGTTTCATATCTAATGGTGTCAAGGAAGGCTAAAAACACCACTGTAGCTGTAAGCACCACCCACCAGGCTTGCATATTGTTAAGCTGACACGCGCAAGGCTGCAAGTTGGCAGAGACATTAGGAAACCCTAGTGAGTTCACACCTACAGATGCTGCAAGCATTTTCAACACAGTGGCAGCACACTATGTAAATTACCCCCCCCCCCCCCCTTTTCCCTTATCCTACATGCTTGCAAAGCTTCGTCTGAAGCAAGTGCAGTGGTGATGGCACTCATCATCCAGCCATAGCAATGGGCGTCCGGCAAGCTGGCATTAGAGGCTACGATTGCAGTGCACACAAAAACGAAACAAAAACACACAGATCCGTTCAAAACATTTAGACTTAATGCAACGACACGTTTTAGTGAATTTTCACTCTACATCAGCAAGGCACGGTAATTACGGTAACACCAAAGAAATCGGGCAAGTGCATGCTTTCATCGCCAGCTTGCAAGCCTTGTGCACACTGAGAAAAACGGCCGATGCTTCCATCAGGCAAGAAGACCGTGATGAAGGAATGAAAAGGCAAGCCCAAGGAAAGAAAGAAGAAAAAAGAAACGGAAAAGCTATGGGGAAAAGAGAGCCTAAAGTGTTGGGGAGTGGACAGAGGTCAAACAAAAGCGCACAGGCTCATCTCATTCCAGGTTACCGAAGAACAAGTCAACAAGCCAATCCACACACCAGGGTCAGCTACACTGACCACAAAAAGAGAAAGAAAAAGAATGAAGCATGAGGAGCGATGTATATCCTAATAACAAATAGCAGACAATAATAAAAAGACAGAGATAGAAAAGGTGCCAAAATAGCCACACACAAATGGTAAGGCAAGTGTTACGTGAGAGGAAAGAGAAAAAAATGTTTCCGTTGAGTCTAATTTTTTTCATGTTTTAAAAGGGCTGTTTATGATTTCGTTTGATCTAACCTTTCGCTGGGGAGCTGCAGCCGATGAAGGGGTTCGGTGCGCAAGGGCGAACTGCATGTAGCAATTGCTGGAGCAAAAATAAACTGCCTCTTCATCCTTGAGGAAGAGCGGGGAAGCAGCCACGCAGCGGGACAAAAAGGAAGAGGGCGAGGGGGGAAAGAAACAGTGAGACCACAAAGGGAAAAAAATAAATGAACGAAGAACAGAAAAAAAAAGATGCGAAGAGACACAGGCGGCACACAAGTATGACACGCATTGAAAATCATTCATTTTGCATATATATCTGTACACAACTCATATACCAGGGATCTCAAGCTCACCTCAGCTGGCAGGCCACAGTTACCAAATATAGCCCCCAAGGACCAGGGCAGTGAAAATAGCGAAAGCAAGGGGGAAGCTTGAATTAAATGTGAGGTAACATAACCATTTCAAAGAACGCTTCTCCCACATCTCATATATATATATATATATATATATATGGGTCATTTCTGTAGATTTGATGCAGAGTTCCGAAAAACATCTACTATACTGGTTTTCATGAATACGAAAATGCGGACGCCCATTATGAGATATCAAATTTTTGTTACACGATGATGTTTATATCACAGTGCCTGCACAAGGCGCCCCCCCCCCTCAAATAGAGAGGCTGAAGCTTCACAATAGTCTATAGCTGACATGAACAAAACACATTAGAAGTGTATGGGTTCGAGCTTGTTGGTAAGGCTTTATCGATGCAAAAACAGCGCAAAAAAAAAAAGAGGACAAAGAAAAAAAACAAACAGGAACAAGCATTGATTCCCTTTTGTTTCACTGTTTTCGTTTTTCGTGCTGTTTTGCATCGAAAGAAGCACATTAATTGCAACAGACTGGAAAATAATGCTGGTAATATTTAGGAAACTAACAAAGACATAAAAAGATGACACCATGCCAACTTCTACAATTTTATTTCCAGGAAATGACAGACTACTTAATCATGCACTATAGCGCACCAGTTCCTTCACTAGCCACCCAGAGAGCCTTTCTGTTTGGATAGTGAATGGACTGGTGTGCCATTGCACATGAATAATTAGTGTGCTGTTATCCGAAAATAAAATTGTTGCAGTTAGCGCATTGTGGTGTCGTGTCTCTTATGCCCTTTTTTGCCAGCGCAGAATGTGTTTCGGAGTCTCGTTCACCAACACGGCCAAGAAATGCCAATGCTATTTAGAAAAGTCACAGAACTTTATTGACAGTGAAGCAGTGGGCTGCTGGTGAGAGGTGCGTGGGCCGCGAGCTTGAGACCCCTGTTATATACGTATTAACACAACCATGAGAGAGAGAAAGAGCGAGAGGGCAAGAGGCACTTGGCGCAATGTGGTGAAAAAACAGAGAGCGCGTCAAGGGATGATAAAAGTAAAGAAAAAAATGAGGACGACTTCATTACGGTGACATAAGTAAGAGGCAAAAAGAGAGACGTGCTCAGTGCAGAGATGGCGAAGAATGACACTGCTTACTAGTATTATTCGGTGTGACACGACATAAGAAACAAACAAAACAAACATTTACGAGAGCAAAGCTGCAGACACAGAGAGAGAGAGAGAGAACGAGGAGAGTTCATTCGCTTGCACCAGAAATGGCACCGACAGAATGTGCAAAAAGAAAGGGTGCCCCTTGATAAAAAGAACAGAGAAGGGTGCAAATTGGTTGATTCAAGAATGTATATACAACATTACGCACAGGTGCAGGCTTCAGGACTTGCACAGCACAATAACCACACAGACCACATACCAATAATGCACACCTGTAGCGCTCTACATGTATTCCCTACCCGCAATACTTTATTAATCCACACCGGCTTTTCTCAAGTTTTCTTTTCTTAGTCTTGCTAGACTTTTTGGCTGTCATTGCTTGTCAAACGAAAATTGCGTTTCTCTTAATGACGAAATTTGCGGCCATTAAGGGGGCTGACGGGTCTTTGGGACCAAAAAGTGACAAATACTTTTTAAAATTCATATATTTGGTTTCTGCAAGTATTTTGGGACCAAAAAGTGACAAATACTTTTTAAAATTCATATATTTGGTTTCTGCAAGTATTTTTCTACCTCTTTGCGAATTTTCGCAAACCAGGAAGTGGTGATTTTTTAGCAATGTCATTTAAACTGTCCAGATTCTCGATACTGTTAACATGCAGAACCTGCAAAAAACAGGAAGCTGGCTTCGAGGCTTCTTTATAATTTGCCAGCACCTGTGTTAGAATCTCTGCTATCAGTTTATGAGCACCTTTATAAGTATTGCAAAACATGCCCACTATGATTGTTGCTTTTTGAAGAAGCTGCGTGCTCTGATTTTTTTTCCCCTTTGCTCAAAAAAACAAATTTACGACTGTTCAATTTTAGGGCCCCAATATCTCTACAGCTAGAGCAGGTACAACAATAATTCTTTTTGCAATGCAAACCGGTATGTGTGTATAATGCGAATATGGAAGCAGAAATTAGAGCACAAGTTTTTAAAATTAATTACTCATCAAAATTGTAACGACACTTCAACTGCTTTTGAAAATGGATAGTTCATTTAGCTGTAAAATAACCAAGAAAGGCCTAAAAACAAAAACTCTTGTATACTTTTAATCTATAGTCATTAGTCTATGTTGGCATATCTTAAATATCACTTTTAATTAAACACTTTTTTTCTATGGTGGCCTTAAACAATAGGGGATGAACTTATTTCAGGAACAAGAGGAGTTACAGGAAAACTAAGTAACAAAATAAGCAGAAAGAAACTGCATTATCCTGTGCAGTTTCATCAATATCACTGAAGAAATAAACAAAAAAAAATATCTAAGACCAGTCTGCCTCCTTAAAACTGAAAGCAGGATAATTACTTTTTATTAGTACAAGCATGTTAAAAAAATGATTTTAACGCGAGTGATTTGCATACTACAGTGTAGCCAATAAAAAGAGATACAAATGCCTCTATAAAAGAAAAACAAAAAGCAGTTTCCTTTTTCCTAAACAAGACACCTGTCAGAATGCAGCCTAAAGCTGTCCAAAGGCAAACAGCATCCACGAAAAACAGCCTCACAAAGAGGCAAAATGACCCTGGACTAATGATGGGCATGTTACATTCAATGATTACAATACATTCGGTGATGCTGCGCAGCTGTGTTAAAGTTGGACCCACTTACAGCAATAATAATAGTATTATTAATAATATATCAGTTATAACAACGAGAAGGGACTACACGGTCATGTTTAGCATTTTTTCTACAATGATATAAACCGCTTACTACAATCCCCCATTATCGGTTTTAACAATGAAGTCTAGCTGTTGGGTGTCTGTTTCATAATACAATGAAACACAATATCTTCGAAGGAAGAAAACGAGAATATCTAGTCGCTGCACTCTCACACTTAGTATACAATAAGGCCGTTTTGTAGCCTTCTACACAGAACCAGCCTAGCGTACTTCTCTGCTGCCCTTCCATCACTTCAAGTATGAATAGGCTACTCTGCACCATTACAACACTCCAAAGCATAAATGGATCACCCCAACTGGTAGCATTGCCAGTTCACCTGCTGCCTGTTCACTTACACCCAGTTCCATTGCCGCCCATTCACTTGCTGCCCATTCCTTTATTATGTTCACTTGCTGCTTGTTTCCCCATTGCCTGTTCCCTCGATGCCTGTTGACTTGATGCCCGCTCACATACTCCCAGTTTCCTTGGTGGCCGTTCACTCCCTGCCTCGTTCTGTGCAGTTCTGCCAGCATTTTGTCATTTGTACTGGCTTTTGTTCGTGGTGGCGAATTCGCGCGGTTTCCCTGCTGCCAGAAATAGAAGCCCACTCACCACAATAAGTCTACACAAGGTTTTCAAAACTGTGACCTGTAATATTCATTGTCACGTTTGATCAGTTGATATGCTGGTGTTTACAGGTAATAATACAACCGTCATTTATAGAAGAAAGCATCTTTTGCAGCAAGTAAACACAGCTCATTGAGACTAGCTGAAAACATCTACAAAGCTGGTGTTCCATAAACTTCCAGCGTTACCCACCTTGCAGGTAATCTGCAGCTGGTGAAAAAGCTAGGAATGTGGACAGGGCCATCAGCAGTGAATGATGTCTCTTTTTTTTTCTTCTGTATTGCATTACTTTCTCAGCCACGGGCAAACATTCTACATTTTATTAAAACCTTCAAATTTTCTTTTGTATGATGTTATCGTTATCACAAGACTCCCATGAACGTATTCATAGGAGCCACACTGCGCAGCGATAGCACTTGAGACTTGTTATTGAGCGATTTGCAGACACACGGCGACTGAGATAAGTGCATTCGCAATTGTTTACAACTATCAAGCGTGAATCATGTGGAAGCTTAGTGAAGTGAAATAAATTGTCTGGCCTCTTTTTGCCCTCAAAGCAATAGTGCCTCTTTAATGATGCTTTACGCAATGGGTATGTGAGCAAAATCATGTGTTATTTCTCTCGCCCCAACGAAAGCGCTGGAATCTAAGCAGGGAGGGATGGCACGGAGGAAGAAAACAAGTCACACACGCCTCGGGACCTTCGGCACTCATCCCCTCTTTTTCTTCTTCGAACGAGCGGATTTTCGGTGCGATTGTACGTGCACGCGTGGACAGGTTGCGGCCTCCTGGGGTGGCCCCCGCAACGTTAGATAGAGTGTTCCATGCTTAAATTAGACAGTGGCCAATACTTTGCCTGTGACACAGCGATTTTTGAGCCTGAAGCGTCATTTGTCTAGAGAAGAGAGAGAACAATTTTTAGTTGAATTTGAGAATTTATGGCAAATTCTAGGCTGTGTGCTGCACTATATTTGGCTGAAGTGTTTCAGGAGGCTGTTCCAGTCGGACGCGTTTTCTTCCCATGCTCAAGAAGTGTTGCAGGGCCCCTTTACCATAGTTTTGCTGCACACTGGCGAACACAGCATTGTTGTTACTCATTATTTGGAATCATTTGTTAGTACGAGCACTACAAGCTAGAAAGCTGAATTATTTGATTTCAAATCGGAGACTCATATGTTTATATATACAGTCGAATCTCGATAATTCGAACTCGAAGGGGCCCGCAAATTCGTTCGAATTAATGAAAGCTAAATAAATAAAGGGCTCTCCATGCAGTGGCGCATGTGCATTGAGCTGACCCACGAGGGGGAAGTACAGAAGACTTACATTTATTCACAAATCACAGGACATCCGTTATTAATTGAAGTAATCGGTGATGCGCGTCTGCACACGTTTGCCTTGCAGTGAGTATATCAATTTCGCATGCAGTTTGCAAAGCATTTCTACTTCGGCTTCAGCATTCTCCCGGCAAAAGAAGTTGCGCGCGGTAATGTCCAGCGCCGACACTTTCTAAAGACAACGACAACAACTGCGCAGCAGAGTCTCCCTGCTATGCAGCCATAGCATGGCCAGCACATGACGAGAAAGGAGGAGTGTCTCCACACGGAGAGAAGCAGATCGGCATTTGAGAGAAAACCAACACTCTACGACAGTTTTTTTTTTTTTTTGCTCTTTTCGCGCACGTCCCTGGAAGGAGAAGGGTTACGTGAGAGGGACAGAAAATGGGGAAGTGTGGCACCGGCACCTGAGAAACCCCCTCCTCTCAAGGCGCAGAAACGTGCTCCCAAGGGGCAAGGGCTGCAGAAGATAGTGTTTTTTTCCTTTTCTTCAACCATAAATTTGTTCAACCCAGCGACAGCTTTTTTTTTTTTTCCTCTCTTTATGTGGCAGGGACAAAAAAGGTAGAAGCGTGACACAGGCGGGTCGCAGATCGGCATTTGAGAGAGAGCAGACATTCCACCGCAGCCTTTTTTTTCCTTTTCATTTCCTTCGCGCGCAGCGTCGAGGTGTCACAGATGCTGCTGCGGGATTGGACGGGAGGCTGAGAGCATTTTCGGAGCGCGGTATGTTCGAATTAACCATCGGAAGTGCTTGGGCGTTCGAATTACCGGGGGTTTTCCCTCATTGAAATACACATAGATTTGAAGGGACCTCATACTGAGTTCGAATTAAGCGTGTTCGAATTAATAAGATTCGACCGTATGAAAAAAAAAAAAGGCTAAGCATGCACTACACCACACAAGCATTGAAACAGTGAAACTGAAAGATGCCTCAGTTAATTCTCGTTGTCTCTACGCTGTTTGTACGTCGCTTCTAGGTCATTGCTACGCTTTAGCTAGGCGATACTACGTTGCCTTCGTTTTGACTCTCAGCGCAGGGAGGTTTGAGCTGTACCACAGACAGTCACAGACACAACACAGGCACGCCGTTCCTGACGCAGGCCGTCCATCTTTTCGGAGTCTTCTTGCAGCCGTCACTGCCTTTCCTGCTCCTTGTATCGTCTCGTTGCACATACTCCGGGTATTCAAACCTTTGCCGTCGCTTCACAGCCATTTGCTGCGCCGAGTGTTGCCTTGTTCCTTTTTTTGTGAAAGCAGTGTGCAGGAGGGGGGGGGGGGGGGGGCAATTAGGGAACGGTTTCATCCTTCTTTTCATGGTTTTCGCCCCCATCAGTCGTCTGAGATTGGTCAAAATGACATTTCGACCAATCGCAGATGGCTAATGGCGGCGAAAAGCGTAGAAATAAGGGAACAGAATCGTTCCGCGATTGTACCCAGGATTTACCCAATTTCCCTGGCACATACCTGTTTATGATGGTGATAGAGTGTGATAGGCCGCATAAATATTCATGCCACATGCTCGTTTGCTGGACTACCTGCTGCCTTTGTCATTTTTAGTGAACCAGTGGTCAGTAGTGGGATTTACCCAATTTCTGTGGCTCATAGCCGATTATGATAGTTTTTTGGTGCAGGTGAACAATGAATGATTTGCTAAGCAGCTTTGCTGATAAGGAAAAAATGCAGGCACATTTCACAATGGAAATATGTAAACTTAGTTGACCCCCCGACTACTCTTTCTCAGAAGAGTCATTGCCAAGCCAGCCCTCTTCCTAAACTACAATGCCCACCACACTGAAGTACACTCTAACCATTCTCACTTATGAAGTGAAGATGCACGCTTCTCATGTGATCAACACGAGTGTTCCCAGCTGAGACCTATCATATTGGCTACTTGTGCTGTAAGCTCCAGACAGCATCCCAGCTTCGGCAAGCCACTGCTGCACCACGGTTTCGGAAACGGCGAACTTGCGTCTCCCTGCTATGGTCAAGCACGACCACAGAGTGACGGTCATCAGAAAAAAAAAAAGTGTCAGAGTGGAGAAGAGCTCTTTCATACACTGCCAGTGCCCCCTGGACGAAATTCCACTATTCGCTGCCAGGAGTGCTGCTGCTGAATGAAACAGCAACTTTTCCATACATTACCGACACTTCTGCAAAAGCTGTGTGCACCATACATCAACACTATTGCGTACCAAGTAACAGTTGAAGAACCTCAAAGACAAGCGGATGGAATAAGCATACCGTATTTACTCGCAAAATCCTCGCACTCCTTTTGGCGAAAAACGGGTGCAAAGTTGGGGGTGCAAGAATTACACGGGGAACTTTCCACGAAAACGTACAGAGCGGAAAAAAACAACAAAAAAACGAAGTAGCCGCAAATCGCGATTCTCAAACCAGCAACTAACAGCATGCTTTGGAAAGTACAAATTAGAACTTACCTCAACAATAAAAGCAGAGGTTCAACACAAGGCAAGATTTATTTGAGACACAAAAAGTGCAAGTAAATAGTCGAGAATCAGAATACCATACGCAAAGCTTGTGAGCGTTGCGGGCGTGACGGTCGCTCAACAGGAGCCCTCAAAAGGTAAGCAAAGGACGTCAGTATTGGGCTGATGGCTAGTTAACAGAATCGTCCGCAGTTTCCTTCTGAAGAAATAAAGTCTACCATCAATCCCAGCTATGGCCCACGGCAAGCCCAACGCGTCTTGGTGGCTTTCAGCTGCCGTCACCAGTAGCTAACACAAAACTCGTAGACTCCGAAGGGCCTACGGCGGCCCTGTTGCCGTCGTTTAGTGCGTGATCTATCAATTGCAACTTGATAGCAGCCGTGTAGCTTCAGTATCACCCCATAACGTGACAAGATTACAAACACAACATACAAAACATGCCGCAACTCGCACTGGCCACTTGGGCTTGGCTTGGATTAGATTGAATCTGCGCGCAATAGTACGCTCGATGCTTAAGAGATGCCGCCAGAAGGCACACACTATCATCATCAGTGGCTAAAACGAGCAGATGACATTATTGCGGGAGTTTACGGGGTGCGATAAAAAAAGAAATCGATACGGGGTGCGATAAAAAAAGAAATCGTATTTTTCTTGGGCGATGTGGGGGGTGCGAGAAGTATGCGAGTAAATACGGTAATCAAATTGGCAGTCTCAATTAATGAAACAAAAATAATGAGAAATAGAGCACTGCACTTACCGCATCCTCCTTTTGGACTCCCGATTCAAGATTAAGTTCTGACGCCTGCTTCTTGACCATACCAGTCTTGGAGACCATGATCTCACAGTGCCGGCAAAACCGCTGCTTCCCGTCCACCAAGTACTCCGCTTCCTCCACTGACGTCACATGCTTGTGATCTGCATCAAGATTAAGACAGCACACAGCAACAGTCGGGCAGTTGAGCTTTGCACAGCTGAAGAGCAAGAAGAAAACTACACGAGCTATGTCTTGATTTCAAGACAATATCATAGTGCTGATAAGTTCTGTGTGTCATTTAGCAGTAGCAACAAAGAATAAGCCATGACTTTAGAAGCTTTGGAGGTGGACAGATGCACTCTGGACAGATGCACCGACTCCATGATACAAAAAAAAAATGAGGGGACCTTAAAGCTTCACCATTAGGAGTAGAATGCGATAGCAATATCCTGTTCCTAGGGCGTACTTCAAACACTTGGTGCACGGAACCTTATCGAACTTTCTATGCACCCACTACAAGCCTTAAAAGGGAATAGGCACAGTAGCGTGCTTGCATTTCGTAGTGACTGACCAGTTTTAAACCACGAAGCAATTATGATAAACACACATTTTGATGCCCACTGGCAATGGACGCTTGTACCACACAATATTACTGCAATATGTCACGTTGCATTGTGTCCTGTTCCATTGTGTTTGTAAAGCATGGAGAAAACTGTGAATATTGCTACCTTAATCCACACTACGCCTGCTGTTCAGGGCAAATTAGATTATAAGCCAGAGTTCCAATCACTGCCAAGCATCATCTCTCAGAAAGTTCATGCATTCTCTCACATTTGGGCACGCAGCTAACTTCAAACAGGCAGCAGACAAGGCGACCGTCTATAAGCTCACGATTAAAATAATAATAATAAAAAAAATGGATGCAAGAAAGGATCAAACTCACTGTGCTTGTAGAGCCCCAGCTTCTGACTGGGCGGGGTGGTGGTGCGCTCTATGATGTCATAGGACGACGGTGGCTCCACCTGTAGCAGCTTGGCGAGCGAGCAGAGCAGCCCCTGGATGTCGCCGGCTGCTTCCGAAGTGAGTGTCAGTGTCACTGACACGTTGCCGGACTCACGCAAAGGGACAGGAGGGGGCCCGCCGCCAAATGCCCCGGGCAACCCTCGGCTGCGACAGAGACCCAGCTTGTCGCCCGGGAAGGTGTTCTCCTTGTCCTGGAATGCCAAAAGCATGAGAAAAGATGTTAAATTAATTTACAGGTGTAGAAGCTTTGGCTAGTTGGCCTGGGTTCATTATAATGAATTTCACAGCACGAGAACATAGGAAAAAAAAATGCGACAGGGTAGAAAAGAGAGGCGACCTCCCACTGATGTTTATTTTGCAGAATGGCAGGATATATACACGCAGATAACAATAAGTGCAAGCTCAATAAAAATACATCAACAGTCAAATCACACATATTTACACGTTTGTCCTACAGCTCGACCAGGTAATCACACTCATACAGTGACAGTGCCAGAGGTAGAGTGCCTACGCAGCTGTCAGATAATATGTTTATCTGTTCTGCTTCTATATTCTCACAGGTTAGCTAGAACCTATGCCCTGCCGCTATCGCACACTGACTGTGTCGATAGTGGCAAATTAGATTGCGCTGGGGAACACGACACGCTGAGACTGCGAAGCAGTCTATAGAAAGCACGAATCACTGATTTCATCATCCTGTGTAAAACAGAACTGTCATTTGTCCCTCTGGAGTACGAAGCAAGCGATAAAATTCCTAATGACATCTGACAACCAAGGCTTGCTAATCGATCAGTAATGAGTTTTGATCCCACATAGGAATGTTAGAACAATCCTCTTGATAAACTTCTGTTAACGCTACTTCACAAAAACAATAAAATATCAAATTTAAAGTAATTTCAGCTTGTAAAAAGATCTGCTGTATGTGCTGTCATTCATGCTAATAAAAAGTGCAAGGGAAAAATTGAAAATAGCATTTGCAGTAAAGTATGAAGTGTAAATAAATGGTGTTTCTAAACGAAGTGAAAAGCAGTTTCACTAACAGCAACAGGTTAGCATGGAAGAAGTCTTCGCAGGGTACCATGTTATTTTCTTTGCATAAAGAAGCTACACGAAAACAAACCACAACTTTGGAAACTGAGCAGAAAACCTTGCAATAACTTAAGCATTACTTTTACTTTAAATTTTATGGTCATTAGCAAAAAAAAGTGTATGGTATGCACTTCCCTGTTTGCACGAACACCAATTGAACATGGTCTATATAATATTCCGAAGTACATTGGTCAATTATTCTCACAGCCACAAATTAACAATGAAGAAGACTACGATGCACACACCTTCTCGTCCAACAGGATCTTCAAGGGAGCAGGAGGTAGTTGCGGAGGAGGTACGGCTAGTGAAGGAAATGGAGAGACAGAAGTTAGCCAAACACAGTGGGCTCAATAAAGAACCTTAGAAAATAAAGCTGTGTTCCTAGTATTGCATGCATACAGCATCCAAAATCCTCTCTACATTGCTCTTGGCCTTCTAAACATGTAACCACAACAAAATAGTAAGTTGGTGTTAGTTCTTATTGCTTCTTTAAAAGTGCAAGAAAATATTAAAAAAAAAGAAAGTTCAAGATAAATTTACCGGTGAAAAAAAAAATGAAGTGCGCAGCGCTAAGCTCGCAGCTGATTCAAACATAAACCAACTCGCCCAAGGAGCAGTTATAGCAAACAAAAAGTAGAATATTGGCCTCCCATACTGCATAGACTTGCTCTCTTAATTATACGACTGAATCTACATTTTATCTTAAGTACTAGTCATCAAAATTATGCTTCAGGGCGTCTTGGCAAGGAGTGCAAGCACAGTAGAAACTTCAATTATTTTGGGTGAAACACATGAATATCCATGATTCTACATCACATTAATTTCTTGGGTGCAAGTTCAATATTACAGATAAGGCACTACGAACTGCACGATCGTGACGTGTGACACTGGCGAGCGCCCACCTTTTACAGGAATGGGCGCGACAATGGGCACCGTGGGCGAAGGAAGGGATCTGGCAGAGTCGTTGCTGTCCTCGTCGACGAGTTGCAAGCTGCGGAACCGGAAGGGAGCCTCGAACATGGCACACTCTGGAGACGAGGCGCCCACGATTGTGTCGGGACTGTCTGCCTCACTGCAAGCACAAAAAGAAGACACCTCACTAAGGCGCCAGCGAGGACTCGGCGAAAGTACAGCACAAGAGGCAATAGAGGTCCTTTGAAGATCTTGTCACTGCACTATGGCGACAATGCTTTGAACTGAAAGCGTACCAGTAGGCACTGTGATTAATGCATAGGCTGTGAACATGGTGAACTTGTTTTGCATGCTGGTTTAGTTAGATATGACACCACCTGAATTTCACTCAGCATGTATAAGAGCTTGGATAACAAAAAGATGTTACTGACTTGGTAAAAGAGCGGTTCTCATTCTATGCGCAAACAATCAAGCAAACACTTTTTGATAGTGCTTCTTTAAACAATCAAGGTAAATTGCAACCTACCGGCACCTATTGGAGTCCGCGCCACCGGAAGTTACTGAAAGACAAAAAAGGAATAAAAGAGTAGATTTGGGGCGAACGTTCAGTTGGGTTGGGTGAATCGGTTAGGGACCCAAAACAGTACCTCTGGTATGCATGGAGAACTCCTGGTTGTAGAAGCCCCTGAGCGGGGTCGGGGAGGGGGTGGCGGTAGAGGAAGGAGCCGCAGGAGGAGGGGGCCGGTCACCAAAGGGGAAGACAGAGTACGGGTCCGGCTGGCCCGGCAGAAATGCTCGGCCGTAGCTGCCCTTCAACGCAGGCTCTGCACACAAGTGCACACACACACATACAACTTTTGCAAACAACAAACTAAACGTCCTGTGCAAAAGCATGCCATCAAACCACGTCCACATAATGCCTCTGTGAAGTGCCGCAAATAATTGCAAACCACCGAAGTTTGCACCATACAAGGCATAACAGCCTTTTATGCTCTTTCCTTACATGTGGCATTGCATTCCGCTGTGTCAATAATAATGTTGCATTCCTATAGTGCAACTGAGCCTGAGCATGAAGGAAAGAGGCAAAAGTGTTAAGGGAACTACAGGCAAGAGGATTCCCTTCTTTGCTTTTGCCTCTTTTCTTCTGCTCAAACTGTGCTGCGCTATATCAATGCAACATCATAATGCACAAACTAGACCAATCAGCAGTACTTGTCAACACACTCAAACCTCGTTATAACAAAGTTGAAGGGGAGCCACAATTATTTCGTTATATCCATTATTTTGTTATATAGAATATAACAGTTTGTGGCAATGTATGCTCAGATGGGCGCACACCTATAAGCATGCAAAGAAGAAAACGCCTTGCGGCCTGATGTACCGCTACGCGACCACGGAAAATAAACTCAGTCGAATCTCATTAATTCGAACTTTCGGGTAATTCATACTCTCGCTGATGTCCCGTCAAAGCTATGTGTATTCCAGTGGGCAAAAACACCCTGTCATTCGAACGCGCAAGCACTTGCGACGGTTAATTCGAACATAGTGCGCTCCGAAAACGCTCTTAGCACCATGCCCAATTCCACAGCTGCACCTCTCAACGCTGCACGTGATGGAGGAAAAGAAGAAAAGGAAAGAAAAGACTGTGGCTGATTGTTTGCTCTCTCTCAAATGCCGATCTGCAACGCGCCTGTTCCACGCTTCTCCCTCTTCTGTCTCTGCACATAGAGACCCTTCTTAGAGACCCACATAGACATAGGAAAAAAAAAAAAAAAGCTGTCACAGAGAGTCCTCCTTTCTCGGTGCAGAGTAAGCAGTCATGGTAGCAGCGGAGACGCAGTCATTGCTGTCATGAGAGGGAAATCGCTTTGCACCGTGGCGCCGCTTCTCGGTCATGTAACATGTGAGCGCTTCCTCAATACTCTCTGCTGGCTGTGTGAGGAGGACGGCTCTCTCGGCCGCGCGTGGCGTGGCTGTAGGTCGGCGCGGGAGTTTTGAAAGAGCCACACCGAACGAGCGTCAAACTCCGCAGAAAACGCTATGCTTAACACACTATGGTCGAGTTTTTTTTTTTTTTTTTGATAGACTACTTTAGTTCGTTGTATCCATTTACCGGTCAAATTTAGTTCGTTACAACGAGGTTTAAAATGCATGGTTCTCAATAGATTATCCAAGGAAAATTTTATTTACTTCGTTATATCTATTATTTTATTATATCCTGTTGTGTTATAATCAGGTTTGAGTGTAATAATAGGCAACAAATAGTCCGTTATTCCGCATACTGTGTTGTCCCTTATAGATGCGCCCAAGCACTTGTCCACATCCATAAAGCTTCTGCCCAACAAAACAGCACTAATGACCTCAGTGTGGTATGCTGAACATGCAAAGAACTATGCCAGCCATCTAAAACAATTCTGAAAATTGCAGACACTAAACCAGCAACAAAAAAATCCTGAGACGCTCACCACGAAGGTTGAGGTCCCCTCGCCCAAAGACGGCACCGATGTTGAAGTTGGGCCGAATGTGTGGCTCGATAATGCGCACGGGCGGCAGGGCTCGGAGCCGTTGCATCAGGGCCTCCAGGTACACCTCGTAGTCCTCATCGGCACGCGAGCCCTTGCGTGGCCGCTTGGCCCTGGCGGCCCCACCTCCTCCGTGAGAGGGTGGGCGGGGCCCGTCGGGGCCTGCCCCCGCAGCCTCCGAACCGGAGGGGGCCAACGGGGGTGGCCGCGGCTTCTTGGGCCGCTTGCGCTGCTGCTGGCGCCGCAAAGCTAGGTCCTCAGCTGACGGCGGAGGGGGCGTGGGTTCGCGCTCCAGCTGGGCCCGCCGGATATCTGCACAGTGGGTCTCAGTGTCAAGAGGCGCACTCTCATATTGGCATTACATGCTAACCCAACATGATACAGGTACAGTAGACCCTCGTCAAATGAAACCTGAAGGGAGCATTTACTGAGAGATTAACATGGGTGCAGAATACAAGCCAGAAACAATCAAATCAGAGGCAGTTGTTCCATTCGAGGAGAGACACTGGTAAGATTTATTTTTTCTTCTTTAGTTTTCAGTATTTTTAACTGTAATTTCATTACTATATGTATTTCCTACAGCTGAAAACAATCATGCAATTAGTTTCTTGCTATATTAGATTTTTAAATATTGACTGTAAGATAAACTTACATTCTGCCCAGTCTTTTGACATCTTTTTCATAAAATATTGTTACAAATTTGATATGGCAGCATTCTATTCTATGAAGGCCAGGGAGTGCAACAAAACCATACTTTTGTTTTTAGCTTGTGGTCCTTTAAGTTTGTGGTCCCTAGGAATTCCAAGAAATCGGACATTGACTATATTTATTTGTTGGAAGCTCGAATAGTTGTAATAGTAAAATTCTGGGGCTAAACAAATAGCAAGTACTATTAGAAAAATATTTGAAAATATTAATGTTCACAAACCCCCTAGTAGTCGGTATGAAGAGTACAAATTGTGTGGACGAGCTCAGCTAGTCTTGCCTAGGAAAAGGGTTAGCAATGTAGTCAAGGGAATGATAGAAAATCATTTGGCACAGTGTTATAGCAATTACAAATCTTGTCACAGGCCACCTCTGTTCTCTAAACATGACAATAAAAACAGCCATAGCTAAAACGAAAAAGAAATGAACATGGGCTGGGCACGTTGCATGTAGGTAGGATAACAACTGGTCATTATGGGTAACTGACTGGATTCCAAGAGAAGGCAAACATGAGAGAGGGAGACAGAAAATTAGGTGGGCAGATGAGATTAAGAAGTTTGCAAGTATAACGTGGCAGCAGACGGCACAGGACCTAGTTGATTGGCGGATCATGGGAAAGGCCTTTGCCCTGCAGTGGGCAGAGTAAAGCTGATGATGATTATGAAGTCGTTCACATACACTTGAATAAGTGACATTTTGATCCGTTGCCAATTCAACAGATCGAAACATCAACATCATTTGCTGGTCAATGACAAGGTTTGTAATTGTTACACCGAGAAGTACAACACGCCTTCGCTTGCCCGGGTGTGAGAACAAGTCCAGACAATAATGAGGTCAGGTCTGCTTCACGTACCCAAATATGAAAGCTTGCGAACTTTAGTTTCCTCTGGTTTGTCACCACCTTCTGAAGGAGCCGTTGACGTCGTTCCACCTGGGGCTTGACTGGTGGTCACCGACACGGCTGGTTGCGACGGCTGCGTTTCTGACGCCGATGCTGTCGTGGCCGGCGTCACGTCGGCATTCTCCGCCATCTCAGCCAGAGCCGGTGTAGTGACTTGATCGGATGACGCGGAGCACTGCTCATTCGGTGGACTCGAAGGACGCGACATCACTGGCTGTTTCACAGCTTGCGTCATGGCCTCGGAAGGGCCATTCTCAGATTTGATGCATCCCGGCTGGCTACTGGGAGTGACCTTATAAGTGCAAGGAGATAAGAAGACACACACGTACATTACATGTACAGTAACTATGTGAGCCAATAGTATGACTATGCTCAAAAAACGAACCACTTCAGAAGCCAATTTTTTCTTCCTCAATTAATTTTTCTCACTTAAATAATAATCTTTTATGCATTTTAGCTTCAGCAGCAGGATTCCAATAAAGCAACATAATCTAGCTATATTTGTGAGTGTGTTTACAGGTCTTTTTCAACGGCTTTGGTAAAATAAAGTGTGAAATCCTGCCAGGTGACAATAAGTAAACAAACAACTGAATGAAGAAGTTACGCAATGTTAGGTACACCCAAACTTCAATGCCCCAAAATAAATTTATGGCACGGGAATGAACAGGTGTTTTTTTTCCTAGCACTATTTTTCAGCAGCTTACAAGCAGCACTGACACCTGTACAAGCTGCTTTAAAGGAGGTCTGCAAGACTTTTTGAGCATGGTCAAAAAACGCTGCTGATTAGTAGCAGAGGCTCTCGCGAATACGCGAGCCAAATGTTATAGCGCAGCACGCGACCTAGAATTCACAACAAATTATCAAAGTAAGCTGAAAATTGCTTTCTCTTCCCTCAACAAATGACAGAAAATGCTAAAAAATCACACGTAAATTACCCATCTATCAGCCATTAGCTGATTTGAACATGGTGCACTCGGTTGTTACAGAGATCGCCGCGAAGAGCCATCACTTGTTTAGGCAGTGCTGGTGAGATGAGAAGATGAGGAAGAGCTGGTGAGATGAGGAAGTTAAGAGAGGCATGGTAAGACGCCAGGAAGCCTCCATGGAACACAGATATGCTCAACAGAGCGGTGAACTGGAAGATGATGTCAAAAGAAAATCAGATAACTTTTAAAGATGACAGTCTTTCTGGGAGCCTTCAACGCAAAAACTTTTGTCTGTCTGTCCATTTTTCTGTTTGTCCACTCTTAACGGCACCAGGTACTTGAAACGGCCGACCCCATCCGCAGCGCCCACCAATAATGCTCAAGATGCAGCATTCATACTTATGCAACTGTCAATTAATAAACAATTATTAGGAAAGTCTGCGGCACCATAACAACACGTATATATTCTGCACGTGCATCTTTTACAGGAAAATGCATACATAAGTAATTTTAAGGACCGTAGCGCTTATCACGCTGTGCTGACCATGCAACGCTTGAACGAAAAGGAGAGTGTTTCCAACGCCTTGCTAAGACGCGTTGGTGGTGGCACCTACCCATCACCTTGCGTTCCTCACTTTATCACCTCTGAGACGAGAGTGCACACCCATCTCAAAGCTACGCGCTTCATTTTCTGAGAAGACTGGCAGGTGGCACTCATGTCTCACGCGTGACGTGATTTGATGCGCTCTTTCGCCTCCACTGCACGCTCGAGGCACTCTACGCAGTGCCTCCTAAATACCTTCACCGATTTTCTTTCGCAGAACACCAAATTAATTGTTCACTCTCTCCCCACGCAAGACTATCATCTTTCGACAACATTTGCAGATTACATGGAGATACTGGGCCAATTTTTTGAGCTGCAGAGGGGAAGCGTCCCATCTAATTAATGAAAAGATTAGAAGAAAGGGGGCTCGATGAATGGTTGAAGTAAACAAAAAGGATAGAAAGACAGCTGCAAAGTTTTGGAACCATCTCAATTCTCTGAGTAATAAGACAAGCATGGAACAGAGGTTAATAACTACAGTTTAAGGGGTTGAACTAGAAGGGGATGAGGCAATAGAATATATAAAAACAATGATGACAGAAAAATTTAAACACCAAGAAAGGGCTGCATGCACCATAACAGATGAGGATGGACCAATTAGCTCAGTGGCTCCACTAGGACAACGAGAGTGGGAAAGGGCAGAGAAAAGGGTTTCTAATAGCACATCAACAGGCCCTGACGGCATCCCAATCATGCTAATAAAGAAACTAGGACCAAACTCTAAACAAACATTAAGAGAGGCAGCGAGCAAAGCAATAATACATGGTGAAGCTCCCAATGTGTGGAAACTAAGCAGGATGATCATGATCTATAAAGGAAAGGGGACAAAGCCGATATAAACAACTACCGTCCTATAAAAGTGACATCAGTAGTTTACAGTCTGGTGATTCAGATAGTAAAGGAAAGACTACAGACAAGAGTGAAGAATAAGGGGGTGCTGGAACTACAAAATGGTTTCCGTAAACGAAAGATCTTTGAGGACAATCAGTTTACATTGATGCAGTGTATTGAAACAGCGGAAAAAGAACACAGGCCCCTGTGGCTGACATTTATAGATATCAAGGGAGCTTACGACAGTGTGATTCAAGAAGACTTGTGGGGAATACTGGTCACATTAGATGTGGAAGATGGAATAACTAATCTTCTAAAGGATATCTATAAAAGTAACAAGGCAGTTATCAAATGGGAAGAAGAGATATCTGAACCTATAAAGATACAATGCAGCCTTCAACAAGGATGTTCCTCGTTACCTTTGTTATTTATGCTGAATCTCCAGGGACTAGAAGCCAATTTAGAGAGGAGTCGACTCGGCTTCAACCTTTTTTGCCAGGCAAGGAAAACACATTGAATAGTTATTACCAATATTGATGTATGCAGATGATATAGTATTAATAGCCGACAACAAGGAAGATCTGCAGGGATTGATAGACATCTGTCGTAATGAAGAAGATAGGTTAAATATGAAGTTCAACATTGAAAAATCAGCAATCATGATTCTTTATGATAACGAAGGCACTGAGCATAAAATACACGAAGTCACACTAAAGATAGCGGATAAATGCAAATATCGGGGCATATGGATAAATAACAGGGCTGAGTATCTAAGAGAGCACGAAAGATACGTAATGACTATGGGCACCAGGAATGCAGCTGTAATAAAAAATAGGGCACTGTGGAACTACAATTGGTATGGCATAGTGAGAGGGATTCGGAAAGGTGTCATGGTCCCTGGTTTGATGTTCGGCAATGCAGTCTTGTGCATGAAATCAGAGGTTCAAGCAAGATTGGGAATGAAATGTGGCATAGGTAGACTTGCTTTGGGAGCATAAGAAAATACCCCAAATCAGTGGGTACAGGGTGACATGGGATGGATATAATTTGAGTGCAGGGAAGCTAGCAGCAAGATAGAATTTGAGGAGCTATTGAGAAAAATGGGAGAGGAGCGTTGGGGCTAGAAAAGTTTTCAGCTACTTGTACATGAAGAATGTTGATACCAAATGGAGGAAGCAAATTTGAAAACCATCAAGCAGGTATTTAGACAACAGCAGAATACTGAGCAAAAAAAAAAAACATAGGTTAAGAAGAAGGTGAAGGAAACAGAGAAGGACAGGTGAAAGATTGGAATGCTTACAAAATCATCACTGGAGACCTACCAAACTTTCAAGCAGGAAATTGCAAAAGAAAAGATCTACGATAATTCTTGGAGTAGTTCTCTGCTGTTCGAGGCAAGAACAGGAGTATTGCGGACCAAGACGTACAGAGCCAAATACGAAGGCACAGACACGGTTTGTAGTGCATGTGGAGAGGAGGAGGAAATGGCAAAATATTTGATGATGTTCTGTAAAAGGCTCCACCCTATAGACAAGGCACGCCTATCTCGCACCCAGGCGCCTTCGGTGGCATACCCTCCCTTCCAGAGACGTCATAATTTGTTTGCAACTGCCAAGGCGCACCTCGCTAGCATGGCAAGCAGTGGCTCTGGGAGTTTAAAACGCGAAAAAGCGCCTGTTCAAGCTGCGCCAGCTTATAAAATGTCATCTGGGTACCACTGAGCTGTCATCTGATGCGACAACAACCGGCGCAAGAGGAAGAGATTGCTGAGCAATGCCTGTGAAGTTCACAGCTCATCGCGGGAATCGTGCCGTGCAGTGTTTTGCGTTGCACAGATTTCCGTCCACAACGAAAAATGCCACGCTCAGCCGCCTATTTACCATAGCATTTCTATTGCGACAAGGGGGTGGCACTGGAGGAGGCGTTTGCTGAGAAGCGTCGTGGTACATAGTAGATGGCAGGGTACGTGATCGTAGCTCCAAAGGCATAGACGGGGATCGCAGCACTCTCCACCAAATTGTTAAGGCGTTTATAAGCCGGCAAGCCAGCGAGAATATACAATGGCGACAGTCACAGCCAAGCACGGGCTCTCAGCGCGAGCGGCGTCCTTGTTGGGTAGCCCCACTAGGAGGTACTCAAGAGTTCGACCCATTTCAGAGTTCAGAGGCTTCCCTACACTATATATTATTCTGGCTAGCACTTTTGAAGCGCGTGTGCGTTCCAAGTGCTCGGCAGGACTGGCATTATATACATGCGGTGCAACAGCGTAATTTGGAACCAGATTCTAGCGCTACGTTGACGCTAGCTTACAGCACAAATTCTGCCGTGCTACAGCCAAGGCACGCTGCAGTTCCACTGAGTCGAAAGCAACACTTACCGCTGTTCGTGTTTCTTTCAATCGCAATAGTATGTACCTGATGAAGCTTCTTCCGTAGTCTGCAATGCACGTGCTGCAGACATTCTAGACTGTCAAGGAAGGTCTCCTCGACGTTTCACATGAAATCAGCATAAACTTACAGTGCAGGAACAGTGCGAAACGTGCTTACAGCCAGACTTGAATTGTGAATCTTCGCGTTTGATTTGCAGGGCGTCTGCTCGCCTGGCAGTAGAGAGTGTTGCTTTGCCGCACGTGCAACAGATGGCGCCATGCGCTTATCAATATGGCAGCAAGCACTGAGCTCGCCGTGCTCTGGTGTATAGTCCAAGATAATGGCGCCAAATTCTTCATAGCATAGGGGTTTAGGGACAGTGAAGGCAAAATAGAATTTAAACGGGTAGAAATAACCAAGAGGAGGCTAACTAATTGGTGGCTACAATCAAGGCACAAGTGAAATTCAATCTTTAAACACATAGTGATAGTACTTGACCTTATGGGTAGGTGGCGTGTATCACCGCCTGATCTAAGGGGCACAGCCGAATACATTCATCCAT